ACTCAAGATTATTTGAAAATTTGATCATAGTAGGATAAGTCCAAAAACCCAAAAAGAGTCTATTGAGTAGACTTTATTGTATTTAAAATAGCAAGAGCTGATTAAAAAAATGCAATTAAAACAAAAAACAAAGCACAACAAAACTAGAACTTATTTGTCATTACGTATTATTGTGCCTGAGATGATTGATCACCTTCAGTTTGCACTGTCTGGATGATGCAGATCCTGTTTGTGCTCAGACTCAGATTTGTACCTCTGAAAATTTCCAGCTGGGGCTTTTTTACAAACTGAAACATAGCTTGATGGTAGGGTGCTTGTCTGTAACAGATGACTAGAAAATATTTAAATTTGCACTAGGTATCTATTGGATACAATTTATTTTTTTACACCTAAATATTGGTGTACAGTAACCCTGAAAAGCACTGATTCATATCCACCTGAATGAGAAGATGGGTGTTATTATCAACTTGAGTGGATTTTGTTTCAATTTGTGATGTTTAGTGTGTTTTGCTATTGTGTGGGTTATATAAATGAAGGCAGGATACATTTTCTCATACTTTTTAGGCTCGTCTAATTATAGGTTTGTTGTGATGATTTGTGTTCTAAAGGGAGTTTACAGTGAGTTACAGAAACAGAACTATGTGAGTAGAATGTGAAAAAAATAAATCAGGAAATCATCTTTAAGATGTAGATCGTGATCTGATGTTAACTGGATATTGAATACAAAAACTCTGTCCAGAAGCTGTTACTGCTAATTCTGAGGAGTACTTGCAATGTGTTTTGCAAGGGCTGCTTTGTTTGGGCACTGCTGAGCTGCAGAGTCCTCGTGCAGCAGGCACAGCCTGCTAACAAGGCTGCGGGCTGCTGCTGCTTTCCTCCTTGGGTAGCTGCTCCCCAAATACAGTCTGTGCTACACATACGTTTAGTGGAAAAGAAAAATTTTCATGGCAGCTTCCACATATGTTTCCATATGTTTCCATATGTTCTCCTGTTGTGCGAGGTGCCTCTGGCTCACGTGTGCTGGGCAGTATCTGAGGAATTATGCTTTTGAACTCTCATTTGAATGAAGATTTTTAAGAGCTCATTAGTTCTTGAACACCATCTGTGCAGAGGAAGCATTATGTATCCCAGGCAGCAGAAATGTGTTACATGCATTGTTAAGTGCTGTGGGCAGCTGTACAGTTATTGGAGATCATCAGTGGTTCCTATGGAGGTGTACCTGTGAGCATGGACTCTGGACTGCTCAGCCCAGTAATTTTCAGCAAATCAACACATTCAAAAGTATGTTTACTGAATATTGTTAAATCTCTGTATATTTTAGTGTTCTTCAATGTATATATACTTTAATATACTTAGGTTTCCTGTAAGCTGTTGTACATGATATTTCCTAAAGATTGCAGTCCTTTCAGTTTACCTCCATTTCAGTGTTAGTTGTACATGGTTCATTTTAGCTATGCCCATTACGAATAGTAGTTGAAAATTAATTCCACACTCAAATTATTTCAGTGTGCATTTATTTAAAATAAATATTGATGTTCAGGATAACGTTTTTTGATCCATCAATTCAATCTGCCTGGGCAGAATGAAATCTTCAGGGAGTTCATAGTTGGGAAGGGACCTCAGGCAGCTGTAGGTCAGCTTCAGTTCTATGCTCCTTCAAAGCTGCTGATTCAGCCACATCTTGCAACTGCAACATTTTTATGACAAAAGTCTCCTCTGACTTTTTGAAAAGATGAATGACTGTTCTGCAAATTAATTACAAGTTTGTTTCCTAACTGGACTCCTGGATCAGATTTAATTTGGGGAAAATGCCCCCAAAAGCCTCTCAGTGATTTTTCTCTGTTTTCCAGCAATCCTCACTGCAAAAAAAAAAAAGGGGGTGCATGATGTTCAGCAGAATCCTCAGTGAATTAAATGAGATGGCCTTTGCTCACAGTTCCTCCTTCCCTCTGCTGCCTCCTTTGTGACAGTGCTGTTGCCTTTTAACGGTCTCTATTCTAATCTGAAAGTGATGAAACATTCCAAGAAATTAATTTTGGAATACTATTCCCATAATACCCGTTTCTAGGAGCTATATGGTGTATTCAGATTAATCAAGTAACAGTCTGAGTTGTTCATAGGAAAACTTTATGAAGAGTTGCAGCTATTCAGAACCAGCTGAAAAATCACTGTGTGCACCTGACTGTTACTAAATATAAAAGCCATATGAAAAAGAGAAGCAGCCTGTAGCGTATGGAGAGGGACAACTCTGTTATACTCCTAAGGTCGTCAATATGTAAAAGAGCACGAATGAAAGTTTCTGTTGTCTGTGTCTGACTGAAGCCTCGCAGTCAGGTCGTCACTCTTTTTCTAATCTTCAGCAAATATGCACATACTGAAGTTTCTGAAGCAGGCGTGTTCTCTGTTTGGCAGCAGTGGGTTCTGTCTTTAGGTGCTTTGTTCTGCAACTTGTTTCTGCCTAGGTCTTTATACCTTCCTTTGCCCATCCTCTTTTGTTGTGTAGACATTCAGACACTTTATTTTTCCTTCTCCTTTAGTGAAATACTTTCTAACTGTTTTCTGCTCTTCCTGTGAATCTATTCTTGTCCTGCAGAAGCAGTGAGCATAAACTTCAAGGGAGACTACTTACTGCCTTTTGCACCCTTATTTTGCCACAAAGGCTTGTTTGTGCTAACCTTCATCATTTGTGTTTGCTTTTACAGTGTTTGTAAAAGTTCATCATAACTGTTTATAGCAGTCCTAAACTCTGTATTAAATAAATTTTCAGCAAGTAACTGTCCTAGTTTCAGGGTTTCTCGTTAGGGAGTCTACATTCAAATGCATTTTTAGACATTCTTTATCAGCCTTGATACTGTTCTCTCCTGACTATTGCATGTGTTGACTACCTTAGATTAAAACAGATCTGCTTGAAATTATATTATTATTTAAAATATTTAAACACGAATTAATCAATCTGTCATTACCACATTTGGTATTTCATACCAAACAAATGTTATTAATCTTTTTGTGTGTGTTATTGCATGTTTAGCATTTGTATTCTCTAACAGAGCCATTTCTGGAAAATGAGAATAATATCCAAAACCAATATGTAATTTTATTCCAGCATACACAAACAGCTCTATGCCAACCTTGAATCACGTATTTAACTGTTTTGTTTCATAATTTCTGATTTATGTATTTTTTTGCATTTACTTAATTGCATTTCATTCTGTGCATGCCCTCATCTGAGCCCCGTGTCATACAGTTCATACAATTTTCTGTATTCTTCTTTATGCTCTTCAGGTATACACTTCTTGGCTGATTTAGTTTTACAATTTAGGAATCACCAGCTGAGCACTTCAGATATAATATCAGTGAAATTCGAGTGCACAGCTGTGATACTTCTTTGTGTTGTGGCCTCTGCAGTGGCAGCCTGTATAAAGGCTGCAGATGGGAAAGGTCCGTCAGCATGTCTGCATATACAGCACGGATCTCTCCTGCTTGTTCTGTCTGTTCTGAAAGCTGTCTACTGGGTATCTGCTCCTAAGCCTTTGCTATTGTATGTGAGTTCTAAAAACATATGGAAACAGAAGCTAACCATTTTTCTTTAGATTATTGCTAAGCAAGGTGCAAGTTTCTTCTAGCTCTTACCTTCCATAACCACGTTGTCTGGTGAGGGTGAGGGCACAGAGAACACTGTTGCGGGACGACTCTGTTGTTCCCTGATCTCACATCCCATTACCCTGTGCTGCACACTCCAGAGGATGTCCTCGAATGATTTTATAACCTCATTTCTTCAGGAATTCAGTCTTAAAATTTTGATTCCTTTTTCCGCCTCTGTGCTTTGCATATATTGGAGCTGTGGCTTGTTTCCTTATTTGCGCAGTTCTCATTTGTTGTTCTCAGCTGGTTTGGGTGTCAGGAAGACGAACGAGCAACTTACATTTCTCATATTCTTTGGCTGTTCTCTCTCAGGAGTGAGAGGCTGGCATCACTGTATGATGGAGGAGCTTTATATTTTTAGGGATTTTTTTAATTTGTACTAAAGAGTTTTCTTTTTATTTCTTTTGCTTGATTTTTAAAATAAAATGATCTATGCCTCATGACAACTAAAATTTCCTGGTTGTTATAAGCTGCTCCTCACACCAGTGTTGCCTGTAAACACTCTGAATCCTTTAAGGCTAAAGAATGAAACTCAGTGTTGGTGGACAAATCACGTTTATTGCTTTCTAAGTGTTTACATAATGACAAAAATGAAGCCCTGGGGAATAATACTGTGAAAAGGGGCAGTTGATTTGAATTAGGTTTCCACCTGAAAGATAGCTACCTTTTATAGATATTATGGGAACATAAGCTAGAAGGAAAATGCTCACTGGTAAAAGGAAGGCTTAATTTTTTTTTATACAAATAGAATTTTGTACCAAGTTAATTGCTGATGAAATAATCACTGAGCAGAGACTGGTATTGTGGTCGCACTTGGAAAGGGTGGGTTTTTAAATTTTTTACTGCATTTATGATTTTTTCAATGCATGAAAACAATAGTGACAGTTTATCAAAATTCACTCTCCATATTGTAAGAACAAGGGGATACCTTGCCTGTCTCCTATACCTATCCTATACCTATATATCTCCTATACCTATCTCAGTGTGACACTGAGATTTGTAAGTTGTGCTAATGAAAATTTGCACTGCAGATCTCTCTGACAGCATTAGAAATTGTCACTAACTTAAGCTGCCCATTTTATTCTGTGGCCTGAATGCATATCCATTATATCTTATACTGCCATACAACAGTTTTTTATTTAAGTATTATGGGAGTAGTTAAGATTTAACTGCTGGAATGTGAGCATATCTGTGTGTGTGTTTGCAATGCATGTAATGCATGGGATTGGGCCACAGGTGCGTGCATAGCATTTTCATTGGTACCCTCCTTACAGAAGGAAAACAAGAAATTCAAATATGCGCAGATGCTCCAAGTGACATTGCTTTGACTGACTGTACTGTTTGTCTTATTTCACAAGGTGAGCTCATGGGTTACCTGGCTGATCCTGACTGCAGGTTCTATGGAGGAGAAACGAGAAGTCTTCTCATATTTAGTACATGTGGCAAAATGCTGCTGGAATATGGGCAACTACAATGCTGTAATGGAATTTTTGGCAGGACTAAGGTATGGGCAACTCTTTGTAAATGACTTCTCAGTGATAGATTACACTGCAGCTTCCGTCAAGCAGATGTCTTTGGACAAGGGCATAAACAGAAATCTGTGGCTAAATCACATCATCTTGCCCTCTTACTTGCTAAGAATCCTTTTTTGAAAAAACTGAACATGCTAAAACCCATTTTCTTCATTGTCATTTTCATTCTTCATTTTCATTTTCTACATTAGAAAGCATACATTTTTAAATGAAATTTTTAAAATGTAAAGAAAGATGGCAAATCAGCTATGCTTTGTCTAAAATCTAAAATGTAACTTGGGGTTTGGAGTGTCCAGAAGACGAATGAAATATAATCATGGTAGCATTCTAATAGAGTCAGACTGAAACTGTAAAAGAAAACCAACAAAACACACACACAAACAACGAACAGCTAAAACTGTCTTGTAAAACCCTTCAAATTTATTTATACTGGCTAATGCTGAAATCTTGTGCTGTAATTATCTTATGTAGCCAGTCCTGCAGTGTATCCAGAAGGAAAACAGAATGTGGGGTTGCAGTCTCTTCTGCAGAATGACAGGTGCGGTGGTGAGGTGCTACCTTGACACAGATTTGCACGTCAGAGGGCAGCAAATTAGACTGGACAAGGAAGAGTTAAGATCAGATTTCCCATCATTTAGCTCCGACCCTCCCTATATTTTGTGTTGGTGTAGAAAAGCTTTCATGTGTTGTATTGTTGCTCTTTGTGGTTTAGTGAGGATTCTCACTGAGCTAATTATTTACATTTTTTGTATATAAAATACATATTAAATGCTTGTGGACAAAGGGAGTTTTTTTCCAGCAGAATGCATCCATATGGGTCCCCTACCCATGTAAGTTGTGAGGGAAACTGCAAACAAAATGAGGCCTTAATTTTATCTGTAATGCATCTGCACAGCAGAAGGGAAGGCAAAGTGTAAAGGCAAGGCTGGTGCCCAATTAGCAGTGCACTCAACACAGTGACAGAAAGTGGGGATGAGGATGTTGAGCTGCTAGCAGTTCTACAACCCTTTTGCTGTGTCTGAAGGCAGGGTGCATAGAAAGGCCATGCCTTTGCTCAAATGTGCGCTCAGAGGGTGAGTGGACTCAGCAATGCCAGCTGTTCTTCTCACCAGGAGTCATTTCTGTTTGAATTCAAAGCTTGGTCTGCAGAGTGGCACTGATGCTTGAGAGCTGAAAGACAGGCTTGATTTATTTCCATGACAGAGTTAGAGTGTAATGGGAATAAATCAATGCAAAATATTTCAAATTGTTTGTTTCTTTGTTGTTTCTTTTCTTTTCATTTGCTAACTATATGGGTTATCTACTAATGAATGAATTTGTAATAAACCATCTGGTTTATCTCCATATCATTTCTTTTCTTATTTCTTCCTATGCCTTTTTGACTTTAAGGCAATGACAAAATGAAAATGTTGAAAATCCTGCTTGCCTTTCATGGGTACCCAAGCTTTTATTAAGTTCCTAAACATTACTGCAATCTTGTGTAAATCATACTGCTTGTTTGTCCTTGTTATTTTTGCCATTTGGTAATTCAAAGAGGAGAAACAGTCTGCGAGCCAGAGTTTTTGTAAGAATAATGAGCTGAATGTGATTCATTCATTTCTGAGTAATGACAATAATTTCCATATTTCCATAATTTCTATTACGTACATGCTGGAGGTGCTGGACTTCTCTATAAATTGGCTTATTTATTTATTTTTAATAATTGTTGTGGTCTTTTTTTTCACTAGGTCAAGAAAAGTTTTAAAAATGTGGCAATTTATGGACCAGTCTGACATTGAAACCATGCGAAGTCTGAAAGATGCTATGGCACAACATGAGTCCTCATCCGAGTACAGGAAAGTGGTCAACCGGGCACTCAATATTCCAGGCTGTAAAGTAGTTCCTTTCTGTGGTGTATTTTTAAAAGAGCTTTGTGAAATTTTGGATGGAGCATCAAGCCTCATCAGACTCTGCCCACAGTATAATTCCCAGGATGAGACATTAGAGGTAAATGGGTAAATTGCTGTTCTAAGAGGCTGTGTTCTTAGCCATCCAGTGCATTATTTTATCATCTGTTGTTTTATATGAAAGTTTCATCTAATTAGAGTTCTATAAACCAGAGTATTATCCATAGTTCAGTTACATGAACCTCAATTTAATTCCTGCAGTAACTGTAGTAACGTAGATTTTGTTGTTAATAAGTAGTTCAGTATAGGAGTACTGAGCAATTATTGTCTATACCAAAGCTAACAGCTTTTACTTTGGTAAAGGAAGTATGTAAATACTTAAACATGCAGCTGTCTTCTCCTAAATTTTCTGATCTTCTGCATAGCTTGTTGGGAACTGGAAGGTTTTCAGTTCCTTAAAAGAAGAACTCAAAAGATCAGTGGAACAACCTTTTCCTCTATGAAATAAAATAGTTCCTTTTTTTTCACTTTGTTTTGAAAATATTCCACAAAAACTGAGACTTCTAAAAAGTCTACAGGACTATTGTAATTTGTGTTACTTGGTTTATGCAGTGATTTAGTCTGTTTAGGTACAAAATCCCATTAGCTTCTAATGGGAAATGTACGTACTAAATATTCTTAATTCTTCTAGGAATTTCTCCAACAAGATGTAAATGACACAGTGTTCCATCGCTCCTGTTACAATACTAATCTATTAGATGTCTTTAGTTTGTTTCAGATTACAGTGGACAAGATAATTTCTTGCAACGGGTAGGCCAGGATGGTTTAAATAATCCAGAAAAAGAATCCACAGCAAACAGTATATTTCAGACTATTCGGAGCTGTAATCGCAGTTTGGAATCTGAAGAGGGGGAAGATAATCTCAGTGAAGAGAGCAATTCAAGAAAAAACTCCTTGAAGGACAGAAACCGTTACCAGTAGGTCTCATGTTTTGTTTTCTATCTTCATCTGTATGTTTCACAGTTTTAGTTTTAGTTTTTCATTTCCTTTTACCAAAGCTCACTTACAAAATCAGAGGCAACTTTTAACCTCCTCTCTTTGATTTACTGTCTTCCAATTCAAAACTTATTCCTCCTGGAATTATGCTAAGTATCAAATGCATGAGAGCTCTCTGTATAGTTATATTTTCACTCATGATGTAATTACTTTAATTACTTCCTCTCATGATAAGGGTAAATCCTTTTCATCTTACACACAGAGCTTTAAAAATCCACGGTTATGATTACAATTTTGATCTGTGGTGCCCGGAATAGCACCAGGACATATCTGTTATCAGAGCTCAGAACATTATATTCTGCACACCAGGGCAGTGTTGTGCCCTTTCCAAAATAAAAGTTATTTATTATTGTTCATAAGACCACTTCTTTTAAGGACATGTTCACTTGAGGCTTTTAAATTATGTCCAGAAGACATTTGTAAGTCATTTTGCATTGTGAATTTTCAGTTTGATTTAGTCCTCCTATTTTGCCTAGATGTTTTCTTGATTGTGCCCCACGAGAACGGTGTCAAAAACTTTCCAATTTTGACTGAATACACAGTATAGTCTTTACTTTTCAGCAGCAAAAAGTATACTAAAAGGGAAGTTTAAGACATGACTTGATCTTGAGTGTTGCTTTAGTGAAATTGCAGCCCACTTAGATGTTGATGTGTCAGCTACAAATGAGGTAACTGTTAGAGAAGCAACAAACAGAACTGTGCTGTTCAGAGGTGAAATGATTTAGAATCGTAGAATCATTTCAGTTGGAAGGGACCATAAAAGGTCATCTGGTCCAACTCCCCTGCAATGAACAGGGACATCTACAGTTCCATCCAGTGCTTACAGCCCCATCCAACCTGACTTTGGATGTCTCCACTGCCTCTCTGGGCAGGCTGTGCCAGTGCCTTACCATGCTTACTGTAGAAAACTTCTTCCTTATCTCCAGTATGTCTCCTCTCTTTTTGTTGAAACCATTTTCCCTTATCCCATCATATAAATGACACAACCCGGATTACGTAAAAAACATACTTATGTCCCTACTTGAGTTATTATATTGATAATGTCTATCAGAAATATCAGTATGATCAGAAGTATCCAACTTATTTCAGCTATTACACGCAGAATCTAATAACTGACTGCCTGAGAAGGAGCTACCCTCTTCCTGTTTAAATGCATTTATTTCATTAGCATGCAATTGTAAATCTCATTTCAAATAAATAATAATTATTTCCTGCAAGAATGGTTTCTAATAGAATTATTCACATCTGGCTTTACTTCCTTCTGGGCAGTGGCGCAGTAGATTATGCCAGGAAAGGCAGTCCCACTTCTCTGTACATTTGTTATCTTTTATTTCAGTTTAAACATTTTTTTCCAGGAATTATTTTTCTTAATTAATATAGTTTGAATTCAACTTGCAGCTCTCCATTCAAAGAAAGAATGAGCAAGTGAAATCAACCTTTCACTTGAATACACAAAGCAGAATTTAAATGTAGAAGAACAGTATGAGGAAAATTGAGTTCTTTTTGTTATGTCTTTATGAAATCAGTTTTTTTAATTAGTTATTTATGCTTTATGTTTAAATGGAACTGCTAAGTTCCATTCTAAAGTAGAAATTAAATGCAAAAAAGTTGAGTGCAACACTGAAATGAACAAAACAGCGGAGAAGTAAATAAAATTGTGTTTCTTGATTCAGCTGTCTGATCATTGCTGTCTGTATTTCTGGTGCAGTAAAATGCTAATTTTAATATTCTAATGACTTGTAGAAAAGTACCCGTGGAAGTGTTAATTTACCTCAGTTCCTCATTATCCTGCTATGTTTTGCTGGCCATTGAGAGCTGGCTGAGACACAGGAAAGAACTGCTGCAGAGAGGCAGAAGGGCTCTGTGCTCTTGTCCCTGTTGTATGCAGGCTGCAATATTTGATTCATTTTTAATGCTGTAAACAGCTAAAAGCCTTTCTTTTGAGACCTAAGCCATATCTGTTATGCAGTATTATGTAATTACAATCTTGTAATTAGTTTGCATTTTGTTGATTTGAATTAATATTGTGAAACACAAGCCCAGTAGAGCTGGATATGTTGGTTTGATTTGCAGAAAATGAAGGGCATCTTATAAAATCAGTGGGCACTGAGTGCAGCTGTTATTTTCCCAAATAGACTGAGTGTCGCTCTGCAGTCAGCGATGTGTCCAATCATCCTAAGGCGCTGACTGTGCCAAGTAAATACCACAATTAAAATTCTGTTCGTCGTCTTTGAAAGTTCTCAAAGAAATAACAGCGGGTAGGAAAAATATAAATGTTGAAATCCAATCTTTATAGAAATGTTAATCAAACGACCCATTCTCTAAACTTTGTCTTAATGTTGTTGACCTGATCTCCTCTACCCTTTAAGCTTTCTTAATTACAGTAAATACCTTCAGAATGATTAAAAGTGAAAAACCTCACTTTTTTTTCCCTTTCATATCCCTTACAATTTCCTCCTTTAAAACTGCACTCTGTTTTAACGTTTCCTGTATCCTTTCTTGTCATTTTCTTGCATCTTAGTTCAATACGTGTAAAGAAAGCTTCTGGTTCAAATCAAGTTCTGTAAGTTTGTTCCCAATAGTTGATGGCTATATTGCTTTTGCCAGCTAATGTCAGAGGCTGTTTCTGGATACGCCTTGTGCATGTGCTTGGCTTACCTTGTTGCTGCTTGTACATTTTAATCTACAGCATGGCTGTGCTGTCACACATGAAATAAGGCATGAACAAAGCTCTGCCATTTCTGTCTCCTCTGTACTAGACTCCCCCAGCCTTGCATATCTAATCTCAGAATATACTTTCTAGGGTCTTTCTAGAGACTTGTTTGGTTATTTTGAAGGCATGAGGAAGATAAACGTTTTAGTAGTTGTTTTAATTTGAAAAGCTGAATCGTGAGTAATCCAGATAAACAATGTGTGCAGTGTGGCAAGATTCATCAGTTTTAACATCAGCTTATAGCAGCTCAGGTATATGGCATGACCTTTATTTTACGGCAGATTTCTTAAGAAACTTCAGTTGCAATTAAGGCTGATACAATTATTCTGCCATGGTTTGTCTATCTCTTCACCATCACCATTAGAATTGATGTCTGGAATAAGGGAAAAATTAAATGAATTACTACTCCAGGGAGGGGAAATTTTGAGGAAGACCTGAAAGTTCCATGTGGGGTTTTACAAGTGTTAACCAGAAACAGGTCTGTACACAAAAAAGAATAGTAGAAGAGGGATTGAAAGTCCTGTCTTCAGTCCCCTAGATATTGTTACCAGCTTCCTCATACACTACTTGGTATTTCCATTGGGGTGATATGGGCTTAGAAACTGGAGTCACTTAACTTCAAGATCCAAAATGAAGTTCTTTATAAGGTCCCTTCCACCCAAGCCATTCTATGATTGATTCTATGATAATAAATATAATTCTTGTAAAATTCAAAGAAAACATAATTATATTGCTATCAGTAATTAATTGTAGTAACATCTATAAATTCCAAATTGCCATAACTTAAATTGTAATACTGCAAAAACTACTGTCCCTGTATTTTTAATTTAAACTGCAGCAGAAAAAAAAAAAAAAAAAAAAAAGTAGTAGCATAAGTCGGCACATAAATCATGTGTTTCACTAGGTAGAAAATGGGTGTATTAAACATAACTAAACCAAATCCCTCATCTTTGTTCACGTACAGATTTATAATTGGAGATCTTTCAGATTCTGAAAGTGATATATTTGAGCAGTTGAAGGACTGGGACACAAGTTCAACAGAAGAGCAACAAAAGGCTTTCTGCCATGGCATAGAACTCATTCCCTGGTATGTGTTGTCCATCAGAGCTGATGTCCACCAGTTTATGCTGCAAGGTGCAACTGTCATCCATTATGACCAGGAGACACATCTTTCAGCACGTTGCTTTCTTCAGCTTCAGCCTGACAATAGTACTTTGACTTGGACAAAACCCACAACAGTTTGCCCAGCAAATGCAAAAGCCAAGCTGAGTGTCCTGGGTAATGCTGCTGAACTTGGTAAATACCAGTTCCTTGGCAATACCGGACTAAATGGACTGGTGGAAGGTTTTCTGGATTTGTTTTCAGCCAAGGCTGTGTATATGGGACATTCTGGCATTGATATGCACACTGTGTGTGTTCAAAATAAACTTTGTAATATGTCCCTTGAAGAAAATGGTATAACACTACTTTATGGACTTCAGACTACTGATAATAAGTTGCTGCACTTCGTTGCTCCAAAATATACTGCCAGAATGCTCTACGATGGACTGCTGGAATTGACTAAAGCTGTAAGAAAAATGAGGAGATTCCCTGATCAAAGATTACAGTGGCTTCGGAAACAGTATGTTAGCCTCTACCAGGTAAAAGATGCTGTGATTTTCCATGAGGAAAGTTTCAAAAATGTCATCAATGTATTGTCGAGCAATTAGTTTCTATTATAAGTAAACTGAAGTTAAATGTGAACACCAGACCTCCAACTTAGTAACATGGTTTGAGTGAAAATGATCTGGTTCTCCACATAATTTCTCATCAAGTGGTGCATATTTTAGATACATTTAAGTTTAACCTTTTTTATTGTTAAGTTCTTCATATATTTGGAGTTTGGGAATAAATATTTTCTTAAAGAGAAAGCAATGACTATACATGAAAATGGTTCCCCAGAAATGAATGCTGAAATTTAGGGCCAAAAATATGAGATAGTGAAGAAAATAGCCCTGTTGCATTCATGCAGTAATTAAAAATTGTGTGCTCTTGATATTTTGCTTTTCATTGGTTCCTTAGAGATATCTTAAGAAAATGTGTCTGTTCTTTGGCAGTTTTTCTCCTGATTTTGTTAATGCTGAGAATTTTTGTAGGAGGATGGAAGGTTTGAAGGCCCAACCTTGGCTCAGGCTGTCGAACTGTTTGGAGGCAGACGATGGAGCACAAGGAACACAAGCACAGGAACTCTGACCAAAAGCAGTGAGAAACCTAGTGTGCAGAGAAACAATACTCTGGGAATAAGTGCAGCTAAGAAAAAGAAGAAAGTACTCATGAGGGTATTCATGTATTTTGTTACTTATCTGTCTGACTTGTTTCCTTCCTACATTTGCTGTGTAGCTAGCAGTACTCTGAACCAGGAGAAAGTTAGTTGAGAACTTTAAAACAGCTTATTGCAGGTTTCGTATGTTTTGGCTTGTTGTTTTCCATTAATTTGGTGGGTTTTTTTCCTCATGTTTTAATTTCATTTCTAAGGACACGAATGCTAGCAGACAAGGACATAATCTCATTAAGAGCTTTAGGTGCTACTTCAGTATAGAGGTAAAATATTCTTAAGAACAAAAGTACTTCAATATAGAGGTAAAATATTCTTAAGAACAAAAGTAGTAACTGTCAGGGTGATGTCTGGAGGCTGTAGTCAGTTTCTTTGCTGCTTTTTGTTTTAATGTTGCTAAAAATATCACCACAAATCTTCTGCTTCACATTAACGTGGGGTAAGATAATCTTAGATGGTGACAGGAACAATGCCCTTTCTTTTTCTTCACTCGAGACTTTCAGCAATAGTTAGGAAAGGGAAAAATCAGGAACTAGCAGCTCAATGCTGTCTACATGGTTACTGGCCAGGTGGGGAAGATCCAGATGACAAGATCCATCCTCTTCAAATCTCCTGTGTCCCAGTGGAATAGTGTAAAACCAGCTTCACCAATATAGAGGGGTGCAATCTTTGTCATCCTCTGTGTGACGTCAAACTGAAGTAATCTCTGATGTTCCCCCACTCATTATGTATCCATCATATTTAAGCTGTCCCTTTTCTACTTGGGAAGTTTCACTGACAGCACAGTTGCTAGCCATACAAAAGTTATTTCATAAGGAATAGCTGATTTATCTCATGATTTTGTTACAGATTGCACTGGTAAAGAATGAAAAAACAGTGGTTTTGGAATGTTTATTATGATGCTCACTTCATTTCTAGGGTGAAAGTGGAGAGGCCACTGATGATGAAATGGCAACTCGGAAGGCAAAAAGCTGCAAGGAATATCGAAACAGAAGTGGTTCAGATCCTCAAGATATTGATGAACAAGAAGAATCAGGTAGATACAATGCTTCAGTATTTAAGAGTCTCTCAGGGTTTTGCAAAAAAATCATGATACAGATGTGCTTTATAGTATTGAATATGTATTTGTTCATGGCAGGAAATTACTTTTATAGTTCAAATTCCAAATGCTGTGAAGTTTTAAAACTAGTTTCTTTTTTGGTTCCTGATTCTTCTTTCCTTATGTTCGATAGCGCTGCCTTTCTAGTCAGACTAAAGCAGGTATGAACCTTGTTCAGACTGTATCTTTTTGATTGTCTTGGGACAAATCTACAATCCCTGTAGCGTTTTACTGAGCGTTAATGAATTATGGTTTAGGGCTCTTGGATGAAAGCATTTTTATTGGGACAGAGGCTGTAATAGTACTGCAAACCTTTGTTTCCTTTGTAGATCAAAATATTATTATTAATGCTTCTCCATCTAACACCCTGTCATCAAGAAGAGCTCACTCTCTGACAGCATCTGGACCTCCTCATTTAGGAGCTGCCACGTCCTCACCAGCCAGACCAGTATCCTCTCCTGTAATGCCTTCAAGCAAGAGTCAATCGAGGTAGGATGAAATCAGTGCTTTGATTTAAAAAGAAAAAAGTTACTATTATTTAGTTATGATCATTTTTCTTGCCAAGTCGATGAAGTCTGACAAAATCAGTGCCAGAAAGGCTATTAGTCTTTTGAGAGACATCTGAATGATTGACATCATTGTAGCACAACATAGGGCATTTAAGCTGAAATACCATGAATCTATGGGCAGCAATGTAGACAGTCTGCGAGCCAGGATGCTTCAGTTAGTAAGTCAGTTGCAGAAGAAAATTGGAATGTGTCCCAAAACTCAGCAAGTTTAATTCTTTCTCCAAATTGTCTCCAAAACATAGTTACAGATATCTTCTGTATAAAGAAACCCAGCAAGTCATTTCTACCTGAGGGAGCATTAACTTTGCTGATGTTCTGGGTGAGGACTGCAGTTTCTCAGACCATTGGAGGAACAGTTTTGAAATCTTCATTTCTTACAGCCCTCTGTCTTCTCCTTTAACATTCATCATTTTCCTATTGCTTACACAGCACAGAAGATCATTTCTGTGGGTGTGCAATGACATAGTTCAGTAACATACTAATTCTATAAATAATAATAATGGTAGTAGTAATAGTAGTAGTAATATAACAAGGATAATGTACTAGAGTTGTGGTTGGTACTTGGTGATATACAAGAATACAGTGACAACAGAGACCTTCCAGTATCTTTTAACATAATGATGTAGTATGGATGTAGGTGTGAATATTGGGATTTCCAGGAAAGCAGTGGTAAACACTGGAAGAGATTACTGCTGCTGGCAGAACATTATTTTGTGGAGATAGGTCTTGTGTAATGGTTTGTTTTGTTTATTTAATAGGATTTTTTTTACATTTCAGTGGTTAGGTTTAGCAATGGAAGTGAGTAGTAGAGCCTCCTGTGGGTGTCTGTGTCTGGTTGCTGCTCCATGTAATATTACTTTCTGAGACTTCCCTGTGTTCTTCACTTCTTGTTCTTCACTGTCAAACACAGCTATGAGATGAACATTCCAGGCTTGGATTTATTTCTGTGGGACATTTATAGGGCTTTTGGTTGTTGTTGTTCTATTTGTTTGTTTTTTTAAGGATTGGAGCAATTCTCTTTTATATTAAACTGAAGAAATACTGCATTATTACCTCTGATGAATGCTCCTCTGTTTTGCAAATCTGCTTTATGCTCTTCATGTCGAAAGAGTTGTTGTTCTGTAAATGCGATTAAAAGGCTCAGCTGAAAGCTCACATTCCCAGGGGAAGGACAGCTAATGTTGCTTTAAATCCTCTCAGTTCTGGGTTTCTGCATAACTTAGCACTCTGGGTCTCCCTGAGCTATGATGAGTTTTCCCTTGCAGTTGTTTGGAGACTCCACAGTGTCTCCTGGTAGAGCTCTCCCCAACGTGATAGGACCTTCCACACTAGAACTTGCAGGAGGTGATTCTGAAGAGGGTTCTGCCAGGCTCCACGGAAGCCTTTGTAGTACAGAAGTCTTAGCTGCTAACAGATGATTAAATGTGGAGTACAGAGCTACAAAGAGAAGAGCGTGGAAGATTTCCTATTCTTTCTCTCTTTTTCTGTCTGTATGGTATGTACATTAAAAACAGCCTTCCCTAACCATCACTTAGGTCCATGCCTCTGCTACATGTGAAGTTCTGAATAAAATCAAATAGAAAAAAAAAGAATATTGATAGCAATTTAATATGAGAAAGAGCTGGCTATTTTTGTACATTTTAAATAAACATACCTGCAGGTAGAGAATGAAGAACTATATTTTTACAGATATAGTTCACAGTCTTGATATTTCTTACCTCCTTACTAACAGCTTACACTGAAAATAAATCCTCGCAGAATCCAGATGTGCAGATAATTTGCACACACAGGGAGCCTGCAGCTATCTTCTGCCATTCATTTGAAGTGGATGTACATCAGCAAATTCTAAAGCTCTTTGAAAGTGTAGTGTTGCCCCTAAAGTGGAAACAAGGGAAAGGGAGATAAAACCATTGGGAATAATATAGCAGAATATAAAAAATGAAGGCTTATTTGTGAAGGGATGGTAAAGTTTGCTCTCCTTAGCTGTATATAGCTGGGTATAAACTAGACTACTCCTAATTACACAGTTTTGATAATTGGTGGTAGTGGGCTTGTCTTGTTTGGGTGGCTTTTTTTTTTTTTTTTTTTTTTTTAAATTCATCTTATGTGGAGTTACTGTGGAAGATAATCTCTAGAGATACATTCTGGAGAAATGGTGAGCTTTCTTATGTGCTGCTGATTTCCCCTTCAGTATTCTGCCATTCCAGTCTGCAGGAGTCAAGAGACTTTCCTCATCGTGGTTTATTTTTCTTGTCTGATAAAAATGTTAGGAATTATTTTAGCCCCAAAGTTATACGCAGTATGTCAGTACTTGCCATAGTGATGTCAAACAAATTGAACACTATCAACCAAAGTAGATGGTATTTTTTAATACTTAAAATCACATGCTGTTTTCAATTGCATGCATCCATCCCAGGCCAGGAGTGAACTGAGGAATCTGATGTAGTGTATTTATGTGAAGTCTGTTTGTAGCACTAATTTCCAGAGACTGCAAGATGTCTTTAGGGACACTGGACAACAAGCTGGTCCTGTTTTTCCATCACAGCTGTTGGAACTGTTTGTACTGAACCTGATGTCAGGATTCCTAGATTAATGGATTTGTAGATTTGTACATTATGGAGCAATAAAAGCTGATGTGGTCACCTAGTCTCGTATTTTTAAACAAATACTGCAATTTCTGGAGTTCTGCTGCAAACTAGACAGTTCTGACTGTGTCAGTGCCTCCCTTTGCAGGATGCTGGTAGATCCCAATCATGCAGATGTGGTCATTGAGATGTAGACAGAGGAGGTAGCTCCGAAACTCAGCCATTTGGCTGATACCCTTACAAACTAGTACTTGAAATTCACTAAGGACTTCACCATACTGCTGAAGGAGTAGTTCAAACTGGGGAAAAGCTACAGTTACTAGAGTGAGTCCTGTAATAGCCCAAAGACTTTAGGATACAGCTTTTGGAAATTTGTTGTTCTGATTCAAAAACTTCTTGTTCACTTGCACAACTTAGGTTAACAACTGCAGGTATAAGGAAATCGGCTTGGTATCACTGAAGTCAACTAAAATAACGAATGCCAAACAGCTAGTTTGTTTCTGTGATTATTCCCCCTTTGCACTCAAGAAATATCAGTTTGCTTTCCTTCCGTCCAAGAAGCTGAAAGGATGAAATCATTAAAAGGAAATGGCCTCCAGGGGCTACTGCCCAAGCCTAAAAAAAGAGGGCTGTAGCTTAATCTGTCTTTGAGGTGTCTGAGGATCATCTCAACTGTTTTTGGGAAGTATGAGAAAAGCTCACGAGGCTGGAAAAGAAGGAGGCTTGTATACCAGGGGAAGGGCTATACTTCTTTAGATCTAGACCTTTAATTCTCCCAGACAGGAGGAAACCCCAGGTGTGTGAGGAAAATATTGTTTTTATTGTGTATCCACTTGTAATATTACTGATTGCTATGAGGAATTCTATATCCTTCTTATCTTTCCATTAGCAAATCTTCAGTGCACCTCACAAGCAGCAGGACATGTTTTTTAAAGCTTGTGGTACAAGAATGCTGACACTGTTTTCTTCAAACAAAAAAATGAGAATGCATTCATTTTTGCCATTTACAGCAGAGTCTTTTTCACTTGGAAGTATTTTAAATATACTTTAATCATTCTGGTAAAGTTTGCAGTTGTCTTATGAGAAACAGCCATTGTAAAACAAAAAAGTATAATTGTCATTATTAATCTTATAACATTCAGCTTTGTTTGCTGTTAATGCAGCAATGCATAATATTTCAATACATGTAATATATCCAAATCACAGCAGTCTCCTTTTGATTTAGCACGTGGAGCAGCAGTAGCTGGCACGGCCGTGTTAAAGGAGGAATGAAGGGGTTCCAGAACTTCATGGTTTCTGATAGTAACATGACTTTTGTGGAATTTGTGGAGCTCTTCAAATCTTTCAGGTGAAACATATTGTTATTCTGTACTGATCTCGTTCATCCAAGTTTCTGAAAGAGCTAAAATTAGACTTCTCATGTCTTTCACAGTGTCCGTAGCCGCAAAGACCTTAAAGACCTTTTTGATGTCTATGCTGTGCCTTGCAATCGATCCGGTCTAGAGCCTACTCCACTTTATACTAATTTGAAGATTGATGAAAACAGCATTGGATTCCAACCCGATTTAGGTTTGTTAAAGAAGAAAACACAACCGGTAGACTACTGAACAGCTTCAGTTAATGGCCTCAAGATAACATCTCTCAGTCAATCTCATAAAGAGCGATCGATTATAAGTTAAGCACAGGATAGCTGCCATACCTCCAATAACACCTGTTTAGCTGGTTGTAAGGCAGGTTCTTTCTTCAGAAAGGAAGAAAAGTACTCCTGTTTTATGTTAACCAGATAGATTTGTAACTAACTGGCATAGCAGAGGCAAAAAGCTTTTTGCTAAGAGGCTGGGCCCGACGAAGGAAGCGTCTGGTTGCAGGAGCTCTGGAATCTGCCATAGGGTTAATACAGTGAGCAAACATAGGAATCAGAAAAAGGCTGTGCCCTGTGTTTCATCTGTTTTTTTGTTGGTTTTTTTTTTTTTTCCTTATCTATCTGGTTTCCTAGTAGATCTGTTTCATTTGGGACAAGGGGAAAGGAAACCTTTGTACCTCTTTACATTCCCCAGTTGCCATAATCTAAGTTTGGAGCTTTGTTCACATTTAAAGAAAGCAGTATTTCTGCCAAGCAGCCTGTGGGGAGGGTACAGCACCACTAGTATGTGGAACTGCAAAGAGATAAGATCTGTGGGCAGGCTGTGGGATTGCACGCAGCAAAAGAAAGGCTTCAAGGCTGTACATGGTTGTGAGAGGGTGCAGGAGAGTCCTGGGTGACAGTGGGAGAGACTGTGGATCCATATTAGACATTCCAGGATTGTGTATAATAATTAATTGCTTACAATAGTTCTCTCCCACTGCTTTACATACACTAAGTTAACACTTATGCTCCTATGAGCAGATAGAAACAAGATGGTTCTGTTCATGCTTACAATGTTATGGGTAAAATGTTCAATAAGATATTCAAGTATCTTTGCAATGAAATATGTTAAATTCTATTTTATACGATGTATCCAATACACATAATGATATATCTGATATTTATTTTTTATTCTTTGTTTGTTTATTTTTAATAGATTTGTTAACTAGGAATGTTTCAGACCTTGGTTTGTTCATTAAGAGTAGGCAGCAGTTGTCAGATAACCAGAGGCAAATATCTGATGCTATTGCTGCTGCCAGCATTGTAACTAATGGTACTGGAGTGGAAAGCACATCACTGGGGGTGTTTGGTGTGGGCATCCAGCAGCTGAACGACTTTCTTGTGAACTGCCAAGGAGAACACTGCACCTATGATGAAATTCTCAGCATTATCCAGGTCTGTAACACAAACGTCTTGCAATCCCTTTTACTAAGAGTCTTGTTACTTCTGTTTTCCCTGTAAATGTGCCCAACAGTATTCTTTAAAGACATGGGGTATTTTATTTTGTTGTTCTTGTTTCCATTTGACAGCTCTAAAATTTAATAGTATCCTTATTGCAAGCTATAAAGTTATGCAGATATCCACATATGCATGCCCATAAAAAGAAAAGAAATGATGCAAATAAACAGGAGTAGGTTTTTTTGCTATGTACTCTTTACCTGGAAAGGGGCATAACACTCTCAGAACAGAAGCAAATATAGATGTCTTTCTCCATTCCATAAAATGGCTAAAGTGATCATTATGTAAAAAACGGGAAAATTACATTAAAAATGGATTTCCTCCAAATGTGTAATTAATACAATCCAAAACCAACTTGGGAGTTCACTAAGGTTAGAAGTTGAGTATTTGAACTATTAATATATAACAGATTTGCAAAGCCCAAAAGACAGAAGTTCTAAGGAAACGTTCAGGTAGCACAGCAAAAGCGTCCAATTCGACATGGTGTTGTTTGAACACAATAGGTAGGAAGAGGATACACGATTATAGATCCTTTCTAATTTCAGCTGAAGTACTGACTGTGCTTTGAATGGGAGATTGGATCAGGTGACCTTCCAATATCCTTTCCAACCTGAATGATTCTATGATTCTGCAATTAATAGCTTAATTTGCTTGTTTAGTGATTTTTAAAGCAAGCATGAGTATTTCAGTAACTCCTTTAGAAACAAAAATGCTAGGTTTAGATATAGTAACTGGTTAGTTAAGTATGCAGACTACACTGTGAAAATACAAAAAAGCAGTATTTCTTAAAATCATTGTTATATGTGTCTTAAATTTCTTCCTTCCTGTAGAAGTTTGAGCCCAGTGTCAATATGTGCCAGCAGGGACTACTATCTTTCGAAGGATTTGCAAGGTAATTGTTAATTTATATATGTGATACCAGTGTATGAAATACACTGCACAGCATGTAACTTCCTGACATCTTCTCACTTTGAGGTTTTTGATGGATAAAGACAACTTTGCCTCCAAAAATGATGAGTCACAAGAGAATGCTGAGGACTTGCAGTTTCCACTGTCGTATTACTATATTGAATCTTCCCACAATACCTACCTTACTGGCCATCAGCTTAAAGGAGAATCCTCAGTGGAGCTCTACAGCCAGGTATACGGGGTTAGATCATTGTGCAGTTTTCAGCAGTAATGTGTTTGTTTAACTGGCAAGTGCAGGAACATGACATTTTTGCTTTGTAACTCCGAATGTTCTAAGACCTTGCTTGTAAAATGTTGGAAAACATGATGTGTGGGAAAGCTGCCCGTAAGCACAGTTGTGTTCAAATGCCTTTTCTAAGGCAAAAAAAAAAAAGAAAAAAAAAAGGCTTAGTTTGAGATTCATAGCATCTAGACACCAGTCGGTCTGACCCAACCTGCTAAAATTAGACTTTCCCACAGGAAAGACTGATCTAATATTTTAGTTCATTCAGATGTCAGAAACACTATTCAAATATTGTACATTGCACTGCAAAGTCTAATTTCAAATGGAACTGTAACATTTAAAAACATTACTTCTAGGAATATTCTAAAGCTATTTACACTTTCTGCCTGATGAACAGGAAAAAATCAGTTTCTTCCTAGGGCGTTTAGTTCTGTGTGTGTTTGTGTGCATACTGCATACCTATTTATTGGTATGTCTGTGTATTTATCAAATACTAGAGAAAGCACTGCATTTCCTGCGAGTAGTGCTTTTGTCACTCTAGATGTTAGTGACTCACTATTGAAAGGGCTCATCTGGTGTCCCATGTGCCACTTTACTTGGAGATTTAGATAGAGGGCTGAAGCTGTATTAGGAAAGCCTGAATAATGATGTTGAAAAATGCGATTCCCATAGTATCACTGCACAGAGTGGTGTATTTTGTTGGGAATATATTGGCAGTGAGATAGAGCTCAGCTGGCTCTAAATTAAGCATGATGCAGGAAAACCTCTGCCTGTCCCTAGACAGTTATCCCAGAGGACGGGGCAGCCTGTCCTGGCTCAGCATGCCTGGCTCTCACATGAGTGGTGATACCAGCCACACACACAAGTGCCCAAAACATTCTTAATAGCAGAAGTAATTTTTCTGAATTGGAGAAGTTTTTTTTTTTTCTTTGTTCATGAGTATATTTGCTGGAAATTATTTTGATAGTAGAGTTCTTCATTTTCAGTAAAATATTTAATAGTAATAGAGAGAACTTTTCAGTGATAGGCAGTTCTAAATAAACAGCAATAAAAAGCACGGGACCAACAATACATAATACAGCTTATCTTTCCCATCATCCTGCTTCTTTGCTTTCTTTGATAGTTTTTTAGAAAGCACAGCTTCTTCAAAGAAAGAAGTAAATTAGCTTATTATCACTAAACAGGATGGCCAGGCACATTTGCATTCTGATTATCCTTCTGAAAGTTCTTCACTAGATATTATTTTCAGACCATCTTCCATTTAAAAACCTATCAAAAACAACAACAAAATGTCCCAAAGCAAAAGCTGCAATGCTGTGCCCATAAGCTGTCATGTTAACAACCTGGAATATATTGCCATGTTATTTTCCAACTGCTTTTGCAGGTGGAAATGCAGGAATGTTTTTGTCCCTCAGGACACTGAGGTATACATTAAGAACCATTTTCTGCAATCAGATTCCATGTGTTCTGTAAAATACCATGAATTTCCAAGCTTTATAGTACTTCTCCTAAGAACATACGTGCTTTCTTAATTTTCCCACTAGGGACTGCCATTAGCTGGGGGCTGCAGCTTCTGTGGCCTGTGTTTACAGAGGCTGCTCATTCCGGCTCCTTTTCTGAACCACTGTGCTTTCATCTTCCTCTGCAGTGTCTTCTGCTTTGATGATACCAGGCTGTGGCTTCTATATGCTACTCTGTTCAATTGCATTGCAGGTTCTCTTACAAGGCTGTAGAAGTGTCGAATTAGACTGCTGGGATGGCGATGATGGGATGCCTATCATTTACCATGGGCACACTCTTACTACTAAGATCTCTTTTAAGGTATGTTAGTAATTATATATAGAAACAAACAAATCTGTACTATTTCTCTGACAAGGCAAAAAAATAGCCTACTAGGAAAATGCAAGTCTGAGTAAACTAAATCTTAATAGAATATGAACTCGGATATGAACTACTTCAGCTATGAACTCCCTAATTGTAAACATTATGCTTTTTGAGTTTTGTAGCAGTTGTATGGTAACTTTTGTGTGGCTTTTTTTGATGTGTCAGCATAAATCTAAGAACCTGTTATCAGTTTTTTTATAAAGAGATGCTAGGCTGATCTGTAGGAGCTTGTCATGGAAACAAAGTATGGATTCTTTCTTCTTAGAAAGGAAAACAGATCCTTTCAACTAAATCAAGCTAACTGAACGCTGCGAAGTAATCATGTTCTTTCAATGACCCTTCTTTCTCTCAGGAGGTAGTTGAAGCCATTGATCGCAATGCATTTATCACATCTGACATGCCAATTATCATATCCATAGAGAACCACTGTTCCTTACCTCAGCAGCGCAAGATGGCTGAAATTTTCAAGGTGGGCCATAAAATGCAGTAAATTAATCTAAGGACTTGTCTTGGGATTCTTCCATAATATATCTCGTTCTCAATATTTCAGAATGTATTTGGAGATAAGCTGGTGACCAAGTTTTTATTTGAGAGTGACTTTTCTGACGACCCCATGCTTCCTTCACCTGGCCAGCTGAAAAGAAAAATCCTGCTTAAAAATAAGAAGCTCAAAGCCCATCAAACACCAGTGGATATATTGAAACAGAAGGTATAGTTCTTCCTGAATAGCAAGCAGTGGGACTTAACTACAGCTAGAAGAAATTCATTTACGTTGTGTACTTTCATATAAGATGCAATCAGTGAAGAAAACTCTTACTAATGTACCTTCTCGTAATTTAATAATGGTTCTATTGTGATAGGCTCACCAGCTGGCGCATATGCAAGCACAGGCTAGCAATGGTGCTAGCAACCCCACACCTGCCAATGAAGAGGAAGAAGATGAAGAGGATGAGTATGACTATGACTATGAATCTCTCTCTGATGGTAAGAATATATATTTCTTTCTTACAGTGCTGTTGTTAGGGAACCGTAGCAGTAAGACATGTCAATATTATTTACATTCCAATTCAGGAATGATAAAGATAAGTTGATCTCACCTTGTTGGAGGAAGATATACTAAATGTCCTTATTGGCTCTTTAGTGTGGTGTCGAGGACCCAAGTGTTAAATCCATTTGATGTTTTAACTGCACAACATATGCTAAATTTTAGTCTTTATGGATTATTTTTATATTTATCATTAATTATGAAAATAACGATTACCTTCACAGTTCACTCTATCTATATTCAAAGATATTGTCTTTTCTAAGGAGCTGAGACACCTGAAAGCTCAGATTCATGACAGGCTAAGTCCTTGCATCTGCCTGGTCTTAATATAAGATGGCATCTTAAGGAATCTTCATCTAAGATGCAGATTCTCCAAAACCCCATATTGTTTCTTTCTAATTCCAGATACCCCTGAAGTATCTATTTTAGTTTGATTTTGTTATTTTTCATATTCATTATTTTTTATTATTTTCATAATTTGCCAAGAATATATTAATGTAGATCACAGTGCACTTGAAAGACGAGACAATCCAACAACAGCTGGAAGTCATATCAAGCTCTTTGGCTAGTTAAATGCTCCAGCTTTGTTAGATATCTCCAGAAATGGGTCGCAAAGCTGATTAAGGGACAAAAATTTACAGATGTACTTCACTGTAGATAAATGCAAGGTAATAAATATATGGGAAAAAAAGCAGAACTTGCTTATGTGATCCAAAGCTCTACACTCTCTGTAAACATATGGGAGATGTTAAGAGTTGTTATAGGTATTCTAAAATTCTCAGCTAGGTGTATGGTGACAGCCAAAAAAGCCTATAAAATATGGTAAATCCAAAAAGATGATTATCAGGAACAGAAGTGAAAACAAAGCATCTTTTTGCTGTTTTATAAAACCTCTTTGTTCCACAGCTTGAGTTCTGCATCTAATTCTTGCCTCCAGATCTCAAGGAAGAAGTTAGATAGAAAGGCAACCAAGTGGAATGGGCAGTGGCTCTGCAGGAGTGTGAAAAAGCTGAAATTTGTCAGTTGGTGGAGAAGAGGGCTTAGGGCTGATTTGAAGAATGTTTACTAAATGATTAACTGATGGATAAAAGGGAGTACAGGACTGTTACGAGGTCTAGGAAGCTCTCAATAGAACAAGTAAATCAGTTTAAAACAGGTAAAAGAAAGTACTCTTATGCAGCTAGTAGTAAAGAGTGGGAATTTGCTGCCACAGGAAGTTGTGGAGACAAACAATATCAGCAGATCCAAAAAAAGACTGAACAAACCATGGACAGGATTTTAATCAAAATTTGTAGCTAGAAATGTGTGGCCCAACATTCCAAATATTTAGTAGTTGTGGATGTTAGGATGATTCAAGGCAAATGGACCATGCCTAGTGCTCTCTTTATACAGCATCTTCTGCTGCCACTGTCAGAAACAGAATACTGTGCTAGATGAACTATTAGTCTGATACAGCTGAGCACATTCTCCTGGCTGAATTATAAAATCATTCACTTACTGAACCCTTAAGTCTAATGGGTACCTGTTTAAGTTCTATGTGTCATGTTCAGGGAAGGTGTGAGGTTTAAGCACACACACTGCAGCACAGGACCTTCTTCTGGTTGGTCTCTTATTTGCATTACTTCCTTCTGTGCTGAATTTTTTAGAAAGGTAAAAAAAAAAAAAAAAAAAAAATTAATGAATGCCGGATCTGACTTACTGCTTGCAGGGCAGCAGTACTGTTCACGCTAATAGAACATTTATGAGGCTAGTTCTGTGCTGCCTTCAGTTGTGTTTTGCTAGAAAGTTGGTCTAGCTGGTTATCATCAGTATTGTCCTTGTATGGAGCTGGGTGGGGAAAGCATAGATAAAATTGCTGTGAAAAACTGAGATTGCTGTTAGCATGTTTGCCAGGAAAATATTGTTAGCTGACTGCAGTAAGTGATGGGTTAGCAGTGTTAGTTAAGAGAAGATTTGAGAAATCTGAAGGTAACGAGTTAGTCACAGCTTACAATACATGAAGGAATCTGAGGCACATTTACTGCCTTAGTATGACTATTATTCTCTGGGATTTTTACTTATGCTGTTATTTTGGCAAAACTAATCTAGGTAACAGTCCATAAACCTTCTAGAAGATTTTTGTTTTGATTTTCCTCACTGATACGTTAGGTTTGCGTCAGGCTAATAGTTTTACAACTGACACTTAATTTTCATTTCTCTGGCTGTAAATCTTAATTTCCTTTACTCTTATTCCCTTTCTGACTCCGTTTCCCTGTAGCAGATGTCCTTAATGCTTCTCCTGCTCCTAACAGCCAGGAAGGTAAAGGCCGTTTGGTTGAGCATTTTAACTGCATGAAATCAGCACTGCATCACCAGCCTGTTAAAAACAACCATGTGAATATCTGGTTTCTACCTCATAGTAAAACTACAATCAGATACTTTTATATAGCATTGTTAACTGGTCAGGAAATGTTAGAGGACTGCATGTGCGACACTGGTTATGCAAAGAAAGAGTATGGTCAAAGCATCAGGGATATCAGGAATAAATAAAACCATTCCTTTTGTGTCAGTTTCATTATTTTGATCCAGAAAGACCAGTTAGAAGGAGTAATATTCTCTGAGAAATGCTTTAAAGAGGAATTCTATCGATGTAAAAAATATTCGTGTACAGTGAATGCAAGGAGAGAAAAGGCAAAACTCTCTGTACAAAGATACATACGTGTTTGGTGTGGTTAATTGTGTTTGGACATGAGCGATTCTTTCTTGTTCAGGGGTATTCCTTGCTGTCACATGGCAAGCTTGAAGAGTTAATATAAATCCATGAAATGATTTTGTTTGGAGCATTTTCTGAGCACAAAAGGATGGGCTCTAAAGAAGTGCAATATATTAACCAAAGCTCAGCATTAAAATTTTCAAGTAGAAAGCTACTACTAAAATAAAAGAGAATGCTTTGACCAGTAAATGCATCATTCTGGTTATTCAGATAAAATACACGGCATTATCCACAACCACTATTAATTCACGTTTAATTTTCAGTTGAAATTTTTCTGGCTCTATGTTTATTAAAATCCCATTGATTTTTAGATAACATTCTTGACGACCGACCTGAGAATAAATTATCAAGTGATAAGCTGCAGTTTGAATATAATGAAGAGACTGCCAAAAGAATAAAGAAGGCTGATTGTGCTACTTACAGTAATAAAGGAAAGGTAGTTCTGCTTTTTCCCCCTTTGTTCTCAGCCACACTTTGATACATAGCCAGCTTCAAAAGGATTTGCACTGCTTAGATAACCGAGACATCAGATGGCAAATGTACTTGAATGAAAACAGATAGTAGAAAGTGTGGAAACACACCAGAGAAGATATTAAATAGAATTAAATTGAACATTCTGTATGCTGGTCAAGTAAAGTCTTTAGAGGTTATTGGATGTGCAGGTTGCCTGAAAATTATAACTGTTGGTGCTGTCTCTGAAAGGTGTAATTGTAGCTAAATCCTGAGGGTTAGTGGTGTGCCCAATACCAATTGACATGAATGGAACTGAGAATTTCATCTCAGTCTTCAACATCTTTGTTTATCAAAATAACTTAATTTACTGGTTTATGATATCAAATAACCACATTTGTTTTCATTAAGTCATCAGACACCGAAAGCACTGCATTGCTGTGTAGTTTCTCCTGAACACAGATGTTTTTGTAAAAATTTGTAGAACTGACTCTAACGGATGGATGTCTTTGCACACTCCCTGTTTCAGTGACAGATATTGGCACATAAGCCAGAGACCTGTTAGGCAAAGACAGCAAACCACACTGAAAGAATGAGATTAATTATTTTAAGGACATAAGTAAGATATACCAGAGTACTTTCATATTCAGTAATTTTGTTATTTATGTTATTGGAATTGTCACTTAGGTTTACGACATGGAACTGGGGGAAGAATTCTATCTTCCACAAAACAAGAAGGAAAGCCGACAGATAGCCCCAGAGCTATCAGATCTTGTCATTTACTGTCAAGCTGTGAAGTTCCCAGGTAAGTACACTTCTGTTTTATTACCTTAAACTTTCTGTTTCTTTGAGATACTGTGTTGATGTTTTGAATTGGTCAGTACAAGCATCTTCACGTTTAAGAAGCTGAGGATCTTTTTCTTGATGATTTGTTAGTCTATTTAATCAAAGTTTTATACATAAATCCATCATGGGAAAACATATTGCTTGCCATAATAAAACGCTTACTTGAAATTGAAATTTTCCAGTCTTCACAACTTAGGCAACTGCTTCTTTATTCCAGGAGGGATGAAACAAAACTTTGTCTCTGAATTTCCATGTAAAGCACAAAATTCGGAAGGAAAATATTTCTGAAACTTTTTCTTAAAGCAATCCCATTTTACTGTGTTTCATTTTTACCTGCAGCCTGCATTTTCATTTCTTTCCTAAGTGCAGAGGAGGGGAGCCATTTGTGTGGGTAATGCTGTGAAAGCTGAAACCTTCTGAAATCACTTACTTCTTCCAGCATCTGGGCTGGTAATTCAGGAAGAAGAAAAACAAAATGGCCTTTTCATGGGGTGGATGAGGATAGCTGAATGCAACATTCACTCACACATTCCTTATGGAAAGGGTTAAGAAAATAAGGTTTTATTTGTATAGCAAGAGGAAGGAGAGGAACTGGAGAGTAAATCACTGATAGTTACTGGTTCGTTGAATCATAGATTCTATAAAGCATGAAGTTTGGTATATTTTGGCTCATACTTTTTTGTACATAAATTCTTTTAAATTGAGATTTTATTGTTTATTGATATGTTTAATGTTTTGAATGAAAAATCTTCTTTTTAATGGAATGGTTCTGTGTGGAAAAGTTAGCAATTCTGCCAAATCATGACCTTATACAAATAGAACTATAATCAGATTAGAGAAGCTAGCCAAACATAAAATAGTGTCAAATAGGCAAGATAAACATGCTGAAAAATGGAGAGGCATTCCTTTATTATCTTTTATAAGTGTAAGAATTGTAGGTGTTACTTGTAACAATAATAACTCCTAAAAATTCAAATTTGATACTCATTACAGAAATCTCCAACCTTTCAAATAAAATATTTTCTTTTAAAGAATGATATTTAAGATTAAGCAGAGGTAATTTAAGTTGTTCCAAACATTTTGACACTCAAAGAAGTTATGGTGATCTGTGATATCTTTATAGCATTTTAGGTTTTTTCAGTTAGAAAAGAAATGCTTTCCATATGAGATTTCTTCTTCTTGCTTTAAAGAGCACGTGAGTGGAATAATTGGGAAAAATAAGTTCCATTCACAGATGAACATATGAAGCTAGATGAATTAGTTTTCCAACAAACTCATGTATTTTTTCCTCCTTTGAGACAAATACTGCCTTCTCTGCAACACATGTAGACATCATGACCGCATGCTTATTGCTCATCTGGAGGTCACAGATATGGTACACGCCACTGTTCTGCTGTTCTGTCTCCATATTGTCTGTTAGTGACAGCAAGGCTGGTAGATCCATGATTATATAGTGCTGTTGACTAGTTTTCTTCCCCAACTCAGAAAATGTAAGACTTCTGGAGATAGTGAGGGAACAGTCAGTGGCTGATAATAATGTGAATACTTCATTTCTCTTGTCACCATGTACTTCTATTCTGTGTTCACAATTGTCCATGTCTCTGAAGGTCGCTCATTGATTTGTGACTATAAAACAAGACAATAGGACAAGGACCATTCTCTTCATTTAGCCTTGCCTACTGAGTAACACAGACTTTCAACCAGCTTCTAGGTTGAATTCATCATGTAGAGAAAAAATACATTTATTTTTCATTAAACCTCTGGTGAGGAGGTACCTACCACTGCTCTTGTTGTGTCAGTGATATTTGGCCCTTATGGTCCTTATTTAACTTCAGTTTCAGTCTGTTGGATATCACTGTAGCATCATCTATGAGAATGAAGGTTTGTTCTTTTAGGTCACCAAAGATGAAGGCAGTGAATCATACTGAGCACAATACTACTATAACTCACTTGCACTTGGCCTGTTGGCTTGATGCTGAGGATCCTCATACAGTGAGTAGGGAAAGTTAAGTACATAAAAACAGGATCAGCACAACCAAGTGCATTGAGCAGGAAGGCACTTAAACAAAACATCATCAAATTCAGTTACCAGCTCCACTGTACCAGGCTGTCTGCCAGTATGGTATAATAGAAATTAAGGTTAATGTAAAAAAAAAATAAAAATAGCACCCAAAAGAAGTACTGTTCATTATTTTCAGGGTCTGCAAACCTGCTGCTGATTAGAAAGAAGTACAGGTGAGGCACTGACAGTTGCAGTTTGACCTGTTAATCCAGCATGTTTAGAATAAGAAAATGGGAGTTTGCTGCCTTCAGGATTCAAACTCTCAAAGTGGTAAAGCAATAAGCTAATGTCTAATGAGAGCCTGGCACTAAATTATCTAACCTAAACGATATGGTGTAGTGGTTGAGGGGAGACATGAAAGATTTGTGCTGTCCTGGTAGAACAGTGGGCTGTAAGCTGGTCCTGCTTAGACCACAGAGTTGGACTAGATGACTTCCTGGTCCTTTCCAACCTCCATTATGCTGTGAATTTATGATTCTATGTATAGGTGATGCTATATGTTGGAGTTCAGTTTAAACTGGAGTGAAATATGGAGCTTGCCTCTGGGAGAAGGTCTGTCACTTGCAAAGCATGCCCATGGGAAAGACTAAAAAGAAAACTCCCGGCTGCAGTCTACCCTGTGGCCATCACATATGGTTCAGCTAACCTTGGTGTTTTGCATTGCAGTCTCGTGATTTATGAGGTTAGTCTGTTTCCTCAGTGACTGTCTCCACAACAGGATTTTGAAACCTGGATCTTGCTTGCCAAATCCATTTGATCCATTGAAAACTGGGATTAAATCATTCTGGAAGCACATAGTGCATAACTCCTTGTTCTTTTAGTCACTTCATATTCCTTGATCTCAGCTTCTACCATCTTCTATTGTTTATGTGTATGCTTTGGCCCAAAGAGACAGTAAGTCTCCAGCACTGAAAACATTTATGCACGTACTAAATTTTACTAACCCAAGGCAGTTACATTGAAACTATCAGCATAATTTTACGAACTACATGTAGACATGCTGTAAAGATTGAGACCTGAAAATTTACAGCTGTGGACTTGACTTCAGCAGAACAGAGACCAATGCATTCTCTTTGTGATTTATATTTGTAGATGAAACACTGGTATATAGCCAATCTTTAGGCAGGTGTGAATTGATAGGAGAACATGAGGGTTGTTTTCTGAGTCACCATTAGGCAAATAATAGTGTACTTGCTTTGTGTGTGTGTGTGTGTGTGTGTGTGTCAGAATGAGCATCATACATTTTGATTTAGATTTTAATTTTGGTCTGCCATGAGCTCTCTCAAAGTCAGCAGAAGGAACATGACTTCAAGGGGCGTGCAGTCTGTTTACTTCACTGGGATTTCAATTATGATTTTAATGATTATTTTGCTGGAATGCATATACTTGAATAATAGCTATAATAGAGCTTTCCAACTCCACTTCTAGTACTTATTGGCCTAATGGATTTCACACACCTACCACATTTCTCATCACTGGAATATAAATTCTAAACAGAAGATAACTCTAAAAACACCTTGAAGTTAAACTGTTCAAACAACAGCACTTAGGGCTTTTCCATCACATTGTATCTTTAAATAATATTGTGTATTTATTTAATTGTATAGGTACCATATCCTAGACAAATCCTATAATGTTCAATACCGTATGGCTTTTTTGCTTCTGTAGAAAGAATATTTTTTTGAAATTTCTGTTAGGATGAATATATTGGAATCATTATTGCAGAATTTTGTAGTATTAATTAGGATCACTCAGTAATTTGGGACAGAGTCAGTACTTTCCTCAAGTCAAAAAGTAAAACAAAGAAAAGTTGTATCCCTGAGATATATCTGTACATCTGTATTGCTTCATATATGTTCTATAAACATTATGTATATGAACATATATATACTGTATGCTTATGTAGTATGTAAAGGCATGTGTATATATAAAGATATAAATTAAATGATGGAGAAAAACACACAGCTTGCCCTGTGTACTATATTACAGGAGTATTTGTGGCTCAAAAATTATGTGAAATATGATGGAAAATGTCATGCCCTCTTGGTCATGTTTTTTGGCTCATTTATGTTACATTTATGGGAACAGGCTTGTCAACTCTAAACCCATCTGGCTCTAGCAGAGGAAAAGAAAGAAAAAGCAGGAAGTCCATTTTTGGCAACAATCCTGGTAGACTGAGCCCTGGGGAGTCAGCTACTCTTGCCAAAGCATCTGGAAAAGGTAAAGTTAGCATCTTTCAGCAGTCACGTGAAATGGCTGTACCAGACCAAGTTGTTAAAGATCAAATACTTAACAATGTGTGAGATATTGAACTTCGGAGTGTTTTTTTTTGTTATTGCAGCAGCTATGGCAGTAACACTGTTACAAAAAGTATTGAGTGCATAGTAGTGGAATGTGAGAACAGAAAAATAAAGACCCTAATTTATAAGCAATTCAAAACCAACACACTTTTTAAGTGAAATATCTTAAAGTTTATATTCTAGAAGATACAAATTAATATATTTTTAAGTTCAAATAGAAGGCAGAACTATTGTGCTGGATCCTGAAAAGGAGTTTTAGTGTCTGTAGTAGGACTTCATTGTCAAAATATAGCCAAACCCTAATGTGTGATGGTGCAAACTCCTGAGTTACACCTTGAAAATACTTGGACTCCACAGGAGCTTCAATTTGTGAAGTTGGGAATTGTACTCTTGCACGTGAACAGATGTAAAGAAATACAAAGGAAAGTACAGAAAAGGCCCTTGAGCAGGGATGAGCCCAGATCCCTGCTTTCAGTACAGCGCTGTCGACAGAAAGTTGTACCCTTTCTTGCACTCATTTTCTGATTCTTGCTTTTCTTCCAGCCCAGGGGCCTGGCTGCAGCAAACACAGTTAGTTCCCTCCCAGAGGCTAGTATCTAGATGAAGAACTCTAGTGTCTAATTCTTAGGTATTTTGCTGCATTTGTATCCTATCTCCTATGGCACTCTGTAGGCTGCCTGTTCAGAAACTAAGCAGATGGCTTTCAATCTTGCCTCTCTTCCTAATGTAAAATGTATGAGAAGAATGGCATAGTGTATCCCGGAAGGCCCTACAGCTGGGTGAGTATGTGAGAGTTTGGGATGCAAATCTATAGATGCCAACACTACAGCCATGAGTTTGGACTTTAGTACCCTAAGTACTAAATCACAGTATCATTCCAGCACTTAAACATTACATTTCTTCTCATGGAGTGCTCTTACTCCATGACTTGAGGGTTTTGTTAACTTTCCAGGTCCTTTTGATGTGATGCGGCAGACGTGGGAAGACCCCTCCTCTCCTTATAACTCTCCAGCTTCTCTCAGTGCTATCATAAGGACGCCCAAGTGCTACCACATCTCCTCCCTGAACGAGAACGCTGCTAAGCGGCTGTGCCGGCGGTACTCCCAGAAGCTGATCCAGCACACCACCTGCCAGCTCCTGCGGACGTACCCCGCTGCCACGCGCATCGACTCCTCCAATCCCCATCCACTCATCTTCTGGCTCCACGGCGTGCAACTCGTGGCTCTTAACTACCAGACAGACGGTATGAGTCAGGGACACACAATTCTATGATTCTGTGATTCTAATTTTTATGCATTTTACACATGAATTAAGTCCTTAAACTATGAAAGAGCACTTGACCTGATTGACAGTGGCAATCTAATTTTTAAGAGCAGCAATCCTTGGGTTTAGGAACTTCTATGCTGATGCAGGCAGATCTGTCTTCCAATGCCACAGAAGTGCCTGGCCCAGCAACAACTTCAGGCAGCTGTTATCTTCTTCTGTAATTTCAAGTATAAAAATGTACAGAACTGCTTCTACTAGAAGTGCTGGTTGCTTGTTAATTGTTGCTCAGAACTTTTTTTTTTCTCTCCTATATTGTATTCCCTCACCTTTTCAAAGGAGGGATCATCAGCTAAACAGCTGATGCTTTTTCATTCTGCAGTTCATGGCAGATATCTAGATACTTCTCACAGAATAGATATGCAGGTCCTACAGTTGGATGAAGACATTAGAAGAAGAAAGAAGAGAATGAACTAATAGTTTTGTATAATTAAGTATTGGATAAATCGGGCGCATAAACTACAGCTTTCTCTGAAAACCTGAATTGATTGTACACAACTAAAATTCAAAACCAAATACTTAAAGCATGTCATTGTCTTGCAGTTCTTTTTCCACTGTACCACAGCTTTGTCTCAGTGCTGGCTGCCTTACTTTCACAGATCTTCCCCTGCAACTCAATGCAGCAATGTTTGAGGCTAATGGTGGCTGTGGATATGTTCTGAAACCTCCTGTTCTATGGGATAAGAATTGTTCAATGTACCAGCAGTTTTGTCCATTAGAAAGAGATCTTGATAATAAGGAGCCAGCTATATATTCTTTAACAGTAAGTACAATTAAAAGGGAATTTCATGCAGCTGGATAGATTGAAATAGGCAATGTTTGACTGCACTCTTAAGTCAGCATTACAGTCAGGCTTTTGTGTGAACATTTAATTATTGTATCTACTTCTGAAGGATAATTTAACTAAAAGAAATTGGAGAGGGAAGAAGCAAACAGTCATCTTCATTTCATTTTATTGACTGCTTTGTATCCATAGTTACTTGCTCTGTTTTCTTCACAACTTTTGTCAAAATCCAGTCTTGAAAACATCTCTTCTGCCATTGTAAACTATGTGTACTTAAATATAGGGCCAGGATGTTTCAGGTCTGTGAACACCTGAGAAGCTACACAAAAAGTCATTATGAAAAACTATACTGAATATTAAAAAAGATATTTTCAAATAAGTCATATAATCAAATGTATTATTCTTGGATTGGTGGCAAAAACTGGTATTCCCTTCAGGAAATGTTGCATAAAATTGGGGTTCGTAAGAACCAAAAGTGTCTCAGCCAGGGTGACTGCAAACCTAATGCTTCTGTTGTGCGCATCAAAGCGAGGCAGAGGTCAGTGCCATCACCCCAGAGTAACTGAGAAGAAAATTTGATCCCTTTTGACTGTGTTACTGGGACATTCCTTCTGGATTAACTTTCAAATGCCTCAAGTGGTTGCACTCATGATATGCAGTATATTTTTTTCAGAGGAAAGATATTGTAGCAATGGCATGTGGGGTTTAAGCAGTGCTGAAGTTAGAGCCCTGGAAATGATAAAAGTAGGGGGACACTGAAATTAAATCCAACAGTTAGCAAACCACACTTAGGGCTGTGGTTGAAAACAATGTTTAGCTCAAAATTGTGGCAGAAAAGAATGACTGCTAATTCACACATCTGTACTTCTCGGCTTCAGATCGTGTCTGGGCAGAACGTGTGCCCCAGCAACAGTACAGGAAGTCCTTGCATCGAAATCGATGTGCTTGGGATGCCCCTGGACAGCTGCCATTTCCGGACCAAACCCATTCATCGCAACACGCTCAACCCAATGTGGAATGAGCAGTTTCTTTTCCGGGTTCATTTTGAAGATTTGGTCTTTCTTCGGTTTGCAGTTGTTGAAAATAACAGTTCAGCTATAACGGCTCAGAGAATCATTCCACTGAAAGCTCTGAAAAGAGGTAAAATGGTCTGTAGTAACATTCTATGCCAGTATCGTTCATCATTGGATTCCTGGACTGAATCCTGCTGGAGGGATATTTTTAATCAGCTGGTTGCGTTCTTCAGGAGGAGACAGGGAACAAATACCAGGCAGCATGCTTTACCCCAGCAGTGTGATGCTGGTCTGACGCTCCCGTGGAGCTGGCAGCTGCCCCAGGGGCTTGACTCAGCTCAGGACTTGCTGCTCCCTTAGGAAGACCAGAATGGTTTCTCTCCATTGTTTGCCCTCTGCCAAAGAAACTGCTCTAACTAATGATCACTGGAGCAGAGGTGAATCTTCAGCACTGTCCATAGGAGATGTGAAATAAAGGTGAACAAAGGCAAGTGAAAATCTAAGCAGCACTGGTAATTCTGTGACACTTGGGGAGGGAGTTTCCATGATGCCAACAGCTCTTCAGCAGAATGGTAGACATAATTCTAAGTTTACTTCATGCCACTGTAATACAACAGGACAGTTACAGTAATGTAAGGGTAGACAGCTATATTTGTCATTCAAACTTCACAGCATTTGGACTACACTGTTTTACAGACAAAAGTATCAATGCATTATTTTTCCAGTGCTTTAAATTCTGTAGATAAAGCAAAGACTAGCTAAAAATGCAGCAAATCTGAGTTTTCAGTTTGTGAGACTTTTGTCCCACAGTGTGGTAAAGTACTTAGGAAAAGTTCTTTTCTCTTTAGGCTATAGACATGTCCAGCTCCATAACCTGCACAATGAGGCACTGGAAATCTCTAGTTTGTTCATAAACAGTCGGAGGATGGAAGAAAGTCCCTCTGGAAACACTGTGCCTGCATCTATAGTAAGTTAATTATTTTTTCTGAATGCTATGTATTTTTATCTTAATGTCTGCTATGGTCTTGAGACTTCTACGAACAGATGTTCAAAGATATTTCACCTAAACCTGCACATTTTTTCAGAAGTACCCCAATGGCTAATTCTTCTGGGCAATAGTGGAAGTAAGTCGGGTTATCCCACTGGAACTGTGGGAGGATAAAGCTTTATTTATTTATTTATTTTAAATTCCCTGTTCTGTAGTGTAAAAAGCCGTGCCTTAGCTTTGCTTGCTTGAGTTCTTTACAACTTGCCTACGTTTTAATGTAGCATAAAGCATTCAGTAACCTATTCTCTTAATAGTTGTTTAGTTCGGGCGAAAGGAAAGCCTCTGTCCCTTACAAAGTGACAATCCATGGAATTCCAGGCCCGGAGCCCTTCACTGTTTTTAACATCAGTGGAGGGACCACAGCTGCACAGCTTCTCCATCAGGTGAGTGCCCGCTACTCCGCAGGCTCTGCTGCACCAACCCACGCTGACCTCATTCTGTGCATTTGTCTCCATTAATTTTTTGCATGCAGAAGCAATACAGCAAGGAGTTGCTTTAGAAATATATTGTTGTGGGATCAATTGCATTGGAAATACAGAAATATCTGTGATTTTTTTTCCCAAATCTTGGCTTCTTCTGTTCTTGGAAAGGGTTTTTAAACTTAGAACATACTCCCTATTAGTACTGTAATATTTGGGCATCTGAGAAGAACAGTCTGTGTGACTGACAGCCAGAAGGCTGTCCTTAGAACAAGGCAAACTTCGCTGCACAACTCCTTGAATCTGAGCAGCACAGGAATAGAGAGTAAAAGGGCTATGTTTGTGAGGAGAAAAAGCAGTTAGCAGGGCTGTTATCCCAGCAGTGGGAAAGGACTGTGCTGTCCTGGGATGCTGCATTTGTTGTCTGTCCTGCCCAACAGGACAGAAATGAGCTGAAACAGGACAGCCTTGCCTGGAATAGCTGAGCTGCCTGGCAGGCCTGAAGAGAACAGTGCATTACCCTGGCATGAAATAACTGCATAAGGAAGAACACATCGGAAATCATGCCCACACTATCAGAATAGTTACTGATTCTTAAAGTTTCTTCATTCATATTCATTTATAGCTACTAATTATGCAGTGTTTATATTTAGCATTCTAATTGCTGTGTATTTATTGTGGCCTGTTTCAGCTCTTGGAGACCACAAAAGGCACTGAGTCATGTGCTGCAGACTATTTTCTGATGGAAGAGAAAAGTTTTTTATCTAAAGAAAAGAGTGAATGCAGAAAACCACCATTCCAGAGAGTAATTGGTCCTGAAGAAGGGCTTGTGCAGCTCTTGAACAGTTGGTTCCCAGAAGAAGGATATGTTGGAAGAATCATCTTTAAAACCCGAGAGGAAGTAAGTCTGTTTTAGATAAAATGTTATTTACAAAGGTAACTAAAAATGGCCTAGGAGCAGGAAACAAAAGGATGCAGTATTTGTTTCACTACTTGGCAAGCAGTGTCACTAAAAACAAAGCATAGCTCTGCACAAGCACAATGAGACTTCATGCACCTGTCAGTATGTACACCTGTGCAGCACTAATAGCAGCTCTGTGACTCAGAACTCCTTTACTGTTTTGACTGATTATAGTTCTAATTTAATGTACGTGGAGATTTTGACATGAGAGGAAATGACTATAAAGAAAGACAGTTAATACCCAAGGATGGTAGGTAACAGAACTCCAGACTACAATTACCTATCAGTTTATGTATCAGCAGCTTTTCTAGTTTTTGTTCTGAAAACTAGAAAGGATTTTACTTCTAAAGAATTTTAAAAACCTTGAAGGATGATGAAATTTTCAATGGTAGCCTAGAATAATGATATACTTCATGTCTTTTAATTTAAAGTAGGAAGGTGCAGTGATTTCCTTAGTTTAAACAATGGGAATGGATGGCAGTGTTTGTTTTATATTTCACAAGTCAGTACTTCATTTTTCTTTGTTTCTAATATTTGGAGCCAAGATAATAAGTAGAAGTTTGTGCAATTAGCAGCCTGCTTCATTCAGCTGACTGCAGCACTTTGTGAGTGTGTGCAACTACAGACATGTCACTGCTGAGCTGCATTCCTTCGGAAAACACAGGTGAAAATCTGACTTAGTGGGGATGGAAGCAATGCTGTGGGTTTGCCCTACGACGCTCTGTGGAGCACAGCATGAGCTGTAAATGAAAAAGGTATTAAAGATACACTGATATTAGAAACACGGTGTATACATTGTAAGCAATATTGGCTTGTCAAAACTACTTTATACAGAGCAATTGCATTTAATGAAATACGGCCACAACAGTGCCTGATTTTCAAGTGATGAAAACTTTCTATGACCACCGCTTGGAGTTACACTCTGCAGTAGCTGAATTTGGCTCTCTTTTTTTCAGAATTTAAATGAGAGAAACGTCTTTCAAGAAGCAAAGGAAGATGCAGCCATCACCTCGGAGGACGACAGTTTCTTCGTTCAGGTACACGATGTCTCCCCCGAGCAGCCACGCACTGTCATCAAGGCACCGCGCTTCAGCACCGCGCAGGATGTCATACAGCAGGTGAGCCGTGCACTGCTTCCACACGTGGGTCTGTAAGGTGGGGGTGGAGGCTGCTTTTACACAGGGTAGGTGAGCTGTGTGCTCAGCTGAGGGATCTGCCTGGTAACCTGAATCTGAAGTAATGCCTTCTTTTTGGCCTTCTTTTTCTGCTCTTAAAAGACTCTTTGCAAAGCCAAGTACTCCTACAGCATTCTGAGCAATCCAAATCCGAGCGACTATGTGCTCCTGGAAGAGGTGACAAAAGAGCCAACAAACAAGAAGTCCTCAACATCTAAACCGTCTCAGAGGATTCTCTCTGATCAAGAGTGCGTGTTTCAGGCCCAAAGCAAGTGGAAGGGAGCAGGAAAATTTATTCTTAAACTCAAAGAACAGGTTCAGGTAAAGGAGGGAACACTTTGCTGTTGGTTTTGTAGATGGTGCATGACGAGCTGACTGGAAACATACTGAATAGTCGAGTGAGACTTTGAATGACTTTGTTTCCAGACCCTGTCAGCTCTGTAGTCTGTAGGTTTGATGGGGTTTTTGCGTTGCTTGTTTTTTCAAACTAACTACAAGACATCTGGCTGCTGAAAAACAAGTTAAGAGATGCTGCATTTAAAAATGCGAACTTCTTTTTTTAGCCTGAATATAATATGCTTTTTTTTATGAAGCAGAGCTATGCTTTCAGGGCTATGCTGCCAGCTCCTGTAGGTCCGGGTGGAGAGAAGAGGCTACAGCAAAAAGTGACTCCTGTTCTCAGCTCCCCCATCCTTTGCAAAATGACATCAGTTACATTCTGCAACGTGATTCTCACAGCTTGCAAGTCCCCTGACAGCTTTTACCTTTTGCTACAGCTTTCTCATTTCTGAAATCTGGCTGCACATGCCCTGCTCCCCATAGCGCTAAGACAGACGGGGCTGTTCCAAGGGACAGCACTTGAACACTACTGGAATAAAGTCTCCTTTATTCCTGTCCAGTTAAAAAATATTTCTGTTGCTTTGCTGCAGGCTTGGGAAAATGCAAGGACTGAAGTACTGTTCTGCTGGGAGAAGGAACAGCATTCTCCTTTCCAGTAGATGCCACCAATCCATGGCTGTTGCCGCTTTAAAGTAACTGTGTCAAAAGCATCAATTTTATAAAAGTTTATCCCAAATATGCTATACATAATCTTTGAAAATATGTAATTTGCAGCCAGTCTAGTCTGAACAACCATAAGAATGCAGTTATTTTGAAAGCATAGCTTCACTGAGTTTTAAAGGGGACACGTGCTTAAAAAATGCTGGATGTTTTCATATAAAATTCTGTATTCTACAGCTAAACAACCTGTTAAACCATTTCTGTGATCTGTTCTGTTTTACAGGCAGCAAGAGATGACAAAAGAAAAGGCATTTCCTTTACCAGTGAGCTCAAAAAGCTGACCAAGTCAAGTAAGCAGTACCGGGGCTTCATTTCACCGCCCCTGCAAGTCCTGCCTGACAGCCCACAAAATAAGGATGACAGGCCCACGTGCAGCTTGACTTTTAGCGACGTTATGGAATAGTCACCACCAGTGCTTCCAGTACATCTGTGCAGGTAAGAGGTGCCATGGCTCAGCATTAGAATCAATGTAATACATAAGTTACAGAGTATCTTTTCACTGCTAGTGTTGGTTAAACCATAATAAGGGACTGACAGATCCATAAAAGCCTTAAACTTAGTTGTGCATAGCCACAGAAAGATCAGTGAGATCTCCAGTTATTTATTAGGGCATTACTGCAATGAATCAGAATGGTGTGGAGTTTCACTCACCTTTTTTTACCCATTTTATGAAACAAAAGTGGAATGCTGCACTGTAGATTTTATAGTGAGCATGCTAATTGGGTAATTGCTCCGTTGTCACTGTCCTGTTATAGCTTTCTGCTGTGGGCCTGAGTAAACAAGGCACCCAGTAGAGCTTTTGTTACTAGACGTTACAATGCATGCATGTAATAAAATCACTGGGATTGATGATCTCCTTTTTAGCAAAAACAAGTTTATAGAGGCACTGTCACTCTCAGTGGAATTTTTGCCAGAAATGTTTAAACATTTTTACTGTCCTTTCTGTAGCTCTTCAATTTCTCCTTGCTTGATTTAAAATAACAACTGAAATGCACCAGCGTACGTTTATATAAAGGACAGTCCATCTAACTGCCCGCTCATTTACACTATGCAGACATTTGCATAGTGCTACTACAGCACTGAGCTGTCATCTGAGAAGGCTCACTGTAAACGAAGAATAAATCTTTTCAGCGTTGGTAATCCCATTTCACATACAGTGAATTTAAGGAGATGGCAATTCCTTTTCACTTACTACACTATTAAAGCATTATTTGACACATATTATCACACCATTGCTAAAGCACTGTACTAACAAGCAGAATTCAAACAATATCATCATTTGCAAAATATTTCAGATCTGAACAAACACATGGGATGTCTTCTTTCTAGGTGACAAAGGCACCACTAAATCACCAACAGAATTCAAGCGCAACAAAGTAGATTGTGGAAAAATCCCAGACACATCCCCTCCTCTCCACCATTTGTTCTTTCATTTATTCTGCAAACTGGAATTTACAACACTGAACCCTTCTCCAGTGCCCTTGAAGGAATCTGCTGAGGTCTGAACTGGTCGGCAATTGTTTGGTCTGTGCTTTTAATGCTTAACCAGGCAGTGCTGCTGGATTAACATCCAGAATCTGGGAACGCTAGATGGGATGGCAGATGGGAGAGCTGCCTGTCAGCTCCCCTCTATCTTCACTTCTGCAAAGTCTTGACAGGCAGATGAAGAATTTTTCTTGGACTGTATGTTGTAAACAAACATGTTACCACCCCGTCTCCTTTTTAAACAAAAGATTTTAGCTAATTGCCTTAAGGGAAACCAAAGGCAGAGAACCAGAGTGTTCTTTTATGTGTATTATATTAACATAATGCACTTTTACATAAGGATTCCTGTTGAACACTGTGTTTAGTGACTGTAAAGAGATGATTTAAATATACTGTAACTTCCTTGGCTTATCAGTTTAACTTTGGTGAATATACACAAATTGCTCAAGTTATTTATGGTTTATCTGCTTTAACAAAATATTGTACAGTAGTTAAATACACCTAACTGGTAGTGATACTTTGATAAAGAACAACATTATCATCTTATAAAGTCTAGTTTTCCAGGCTTGCGTTTAAAGAAAGAATATTTATTATCATGTCCCAAAGTATGTGTCATTGTGTAATATATTTATCATATACTACTTTTTAGAAACTGCAGAATTTTCACCTCCCTCTGGATTTAGAGGAAAAAATGTTTGAACTTGCCTGCTTGTTTCTTTGCAGCACAAGAAGTCTGATATCCCAAACTGACCAAACTCAAACAGAGTACTGAAAAACATAATTAACACTTCAGAGTTGTATGAAAATGCCTACAGTTCGTTGGTTTTTTTTTACTTACTTCTTAATCCCAGAGAGCATAAACACTCTTACACTACAACACTTGACACTTTGTTTACATAGAAACACTGTTTAAAGTCTGATGTTTGCTGAATTCATCTTTTGATATTTAAGATATTACGGTTGCCTCTTTTTTTACTCCATGAGGGTTATTAATGTTTTTAGTTAGTTAATTAATCTATATATACCAACTTACAAGGGAACAAATAAAACAATTGCTGAAACCACCCATCCCTTCCATTTCCCATACAAAGTATACCTGTGGTGGGTAAGTGGCCCTGCACACATCTGGGCTCCCTGGAGCACTCCCTGAACCACGCAGAGTGAGCTGTCTGACTCAAGAGAGAATCCATACTACAGAGATTGATTCTTGCGGTCGCAGCCTGCATGCTGACTTTAGCACTTAAGCACAAACTGCTGCTGCTCCTAAAAGAGTCTGCATCAGGCAAAGAATAGAACAGCACTGCAACTACAAGGATGTGCACTTTTGGTAGCGTAAGGATGAAAGGAAAGGAAGGTCCACTATCTGCAGATGGTAGACCTCCTTCCTTCCCCAGTAATTACAGAATAAACCAAAAGAAAGCCAACTCATGCTCTGATGTATAAATAAGCAGGTAGAAGCTACATTTTCCCACCAGTTTCTTTTACAATGCCCTACTGAGAGTTCCTGTCTGTCAGATGTTAACAAGGCAAAACGTGCCCCCTTGAGGTTGTTTCCAGCTGTCAGGAAAAATAACCACAGACCTGGTCACATAGCCCCTCGCTGAGACTGTGCACCTCCCAGTGCTTATCTTTAGTACTGAGACAGGAAACAGTTTTCTAACCATAATTAATTTGATCTGGAATACTTCGGAATTACTGGGAAATGCATCAACCTACTGCACAATTCAACTAATGCAACAGGTTCTTAAATGCTAGTCTTTTTCTCTGTTATTTTAACACAGTGGCAGTTTCATATCACTAATTGTTTTTCTTCCAGTGCTTTGGGGTATTTTTAGAAATAAGAATTATTTTCCTGTAGAGTTTATCCTTAACTATTTGACTACTTTAAAAAAAATATTCAACAGTACTGAAAATAGAATTCTTAATATCACTCAGCACCATGCTTGCTCCAACATACAAAACCCTTACACCCATTTCATCAGCCAGTAATGGTTTTCTTTCACATAGATTTAAATTAAAAAAAGAAATAAATCTTGTGAAATTCAGGGGCAACAGCAGCAGTGTCACAAGGTGTAATGCAGCTCCACCACTGGCCCGAAGTCTAGTGGAACTTAGGAATAGCAGTTAAGTACTTTTTCTGCTAATACAATAACTCTCCAGTTGTTGGAAAAGTTGATTAATTTAAGTATCTTCCTCATCAGTCAAGATCTAAAACTGTTTTCTGCTGTTTGTCACAGTAAAACAGAACAGGAAAATATTTATCTAGAATTTTGTCAGGCTAATTATAATGTTTCAGTACTTTCATTAATGCACAAATATCACAACCTCAAGTTACAGAAAGGAAAATACATTCATTTTCACGTTACAAACTATTTACAGGAAACAGTTTCCAGGATAAAGTCTGAAAGAAAGGAATGTAAATAGGCAACACCTTCCAGAAAAAAGCACTTTGAGTGGTAGCAGGCCCCATTCTGATGAGTTTACAGGTAAAACCCTCATGCTCAGTTGCCTCTTGGCCATATGGGAGTATTTTATTCCATTTTTTTTAAAAAACCACTGTACTTTTTAATACCAATATCTTCTTGTGAATCTTTTTTTATGGTTTTCCTCACAAAGCACGTGCTGTTTGCAGTGCTGTGACTAGATGGGACAACACTCGGGCTGCCAGGGATTCCAGGCTTGCTCCAGTACTGCTCAGTTTTCAGGAACTGGGGCACACCGGGGGGGAATTCCTATGGGCTGAAGAGCTTCCTGTTTATATCTTACTCATCCAGCTTGAACGAAGCAGCAAAATACTGTACAATTTTTATACAGTATAGTTACAATTTTTAAATCCTAATCACCTATTTTTATTGATAGTAAAGAGTTTTACTAGATGAAGGATCTCAATAGCCATCTTTTCAAAGTGGTCTGCTTCCAGAAATCATATGCTTCTAGGAATTAATTAAAGACTTCAACTAGTAATCTACGGGAATGTGTTCCTGAAATATTCAGGAAATATTTGTCTTTAAAAAAAGAACTTGTTGGTAGCTTTCCAGTTCAGTGAAAGGCTGAGTCTGCAGCTTCTGAAACAGAACTCTCTCCCTTCTGCTCTCACTCTCTGAATGCTGTTAAGCTTCAGCTAACGTTTGTTTTTTAATCACTGGCTCTTAGTAGACCACTACAAAACTCAGTTTACTTTTGGGGTATCCCACTAACTGTAACAATGGTGGAGTTTTTTCACTATGTCATAAATATTTTGTAACTGCAATAGTGATAGACATTTGACAGGGTTAGCAAATTAAACGCAAAAATAAATAACAGTGAATAGATTTTGCTCCAATACTTGCATAGAGTATTTCAGAAAGACTTACTTGTTAGCTGCACACTCACCTTCCTCTGCCTCCTAACGCATGTCACAGCATTCTGACAGTGCGGAGTCACTACGTGCCAGTCATTAGATTGTTTGAAAACTATGTAAAATGAACAATTCTAAAAGCAACTTTCCACCTAGGCTATTTCCTCTTTGCTGACTTGAAGAATAAACTTGTATCTGTATATGTTGTAAAAAATAAATGGTTTAAGATGCTGACTCTTTCCTTTTGCCTTCCTGAACTGACAAAGGCTGATGGCACCCTTAGAATTCTTTGGAATTTAAGTCACGTGCACATTTGCAATCACTTTAACAAGTCCTGAAAAGCTATAGGAATGGCAACCTGAGCAGCCAGAAACACACATATTACCAGCAGTATTATACAGACAGTTTTGTATTCCCAATACAGGAATATATATTTTCTAATCCATTAGTAGATAGATACCCATTGCAAAATTGCAAAACTGTGAATTTACATTTAACCACAAAGAATTTGGTCCAACAGTCTAATCAACACTAAAAGCACATATTAAAATAAAAATAAATTATTATAGAAGGATCTAGGAACCATAAGATAAAGGACAAAGTGCCTCACAGAAAAAGAAACTTTTTATAATTATTGTAAGGAGGTTGGTGACTTGACCAAAAGCTTTGCAAAACTTATCATATCACATACTAAATACTATAAAATATATTGGCTGCCAGCCTTGTCAGCCCACCACACTGCCCTATGGAACAGAGTTCTGAATAAAGCAATTATCAGCCTTAAGTTCTTCAATATATTTTACCTATTGTTTGTAAAGCTGATATGCAGCTGAAAATGGGTTCTGAAACAACCAGGCAATAGCTGAAATTTGGGGAATGGGGAAAAAAAATCAAGATTTAAAATCCTTACCTTGAATTTGTCCTGTATTCTTCACAGTGATGATTTATTGAAGACATTGTAGAGCTGTCAACTATGAAGATAGTTCAGAAATTGAACTCAGTAATCTTAATTTGCTAATAAATACCATGGTCTTATTCTAAGAGAACAAAGGCACAGCAAAAGCAAAAATCATCTCAAAACATGATAAACAGTTTGGAGACATCAGAAGAAAAATTTAAAAACATGGAAAGTAATGCGTATTCCAAAATTGGAAGTATCCTGAACATCAAAGCCCTCAATACTGCTTAGTCCAAAATATTTATTCATATATCAACATATCCCAGTGTTTCCTCAGAAACACATATACGTATATTCTATTACAAAAAATTTGAAGTTATACAAACAAAAATACTATAATGCACTGTTTCAGGCAATTTTAAAATGACCTTGGTTTGTATCTTTTTACATTACTGATGTGACTGTACATTGCAAACCCCAAGCCCTGAGAACACTGGCTAGATGGCCTTGTACCTGTGTGAAAAGCTTCTGTTCTGTTTATTGAGTGTGTCTATATTCAAACAAAAGCCTACTTGCATTCCTTTAATGATGAATGGAAACTTCTTCCAACCAATCTTTGTCCATAATTAAGAAGCCAGCTGAACACGACTGATAAATTCATTTAGGACAAGGATGATTCTTTTAAGTGTTTAGCAAAATCCAAGGTTTTGTGACTAACAGTCTTGCTTGTGTGTTGTTGAAGCTGTTCAGTTAGCTCCTGATTTAGAAATGAATCCACGTGTGAGAATGTGTCCTGAAAATAACAGAATATTAGTTGTATTAATAAACAAGTCCAGTATCTTTAATTAGCAGTCCTGTTTCTCTCCCATGCCCCTGGCCATCTCCTCGACCTGACCTACAGAACTGAGATCCAACTGCCAATAAGTTTCACTTGGAAGTCCTATGTCCAGCACGCATTAGATGATCATACTTTTGGCAATGATTTTTTTTTGCTTTTAATCATTCTTTAGAAGAATACCAATTATACATAGCCACAGCTTCCAGTTCTGAAGGAATGTACACACTGATTCCTGTTCAACACACCTTAAAAAAACTAAGCATCTCAGATCCAAGGGCTAGTGAATGCAATAATGCAAGCAGTGGAGATTGTGAATCTGAGGAAGGAATGCCCTGGCCCTGTGTTGAGTGATTCCTTCTGGTTAGAGCCATGTGTGGGGATCTCCACACCTCCCCTACTGACGAAGGAAGGTCAGATGAGGAAGGTCAGCTCTGTTAAAGCTTTAACACTCACATAGCCAAGTACTCATTTGTCTATGAGTGCATGAAGATCCTCTCTTTAGTGGAGCACAGGAAAAAGAAAATTCCAATTCAGAGCTTCTGTCAGCAGGGAGAGGTGCTGACAGACCATGGCAGCATAACACACAAACTTGCAGGACGCACAGAGTAAAATGTAGGTGCTGCCAAAGATTGTTAAGTGAGTCAAACAGCCATACAGTAAGCAACACTGAAGCTAATTTCCCAAGTACTGCCATTATAACCACCAAAGACAGCTCCTTCTCCTATTTCTTTCCTTCCTCCTTTGTTTCTGCCTCCTTTACGCATTGCCTTATTCAAGCACTATCCAATCTCTCTCCTATCTGCTGTTCTCAGCCTCGATCTGTCTGCTAATGTCCCAGCAGGACAGAAACATCAGGCAGTTACTATCTAAGGACACACTAGCTAAGTAGAAGCTTATTAGCTAAGTACTAGCTAAGCTTTTTAGAAGTTGCTTCTCAAAAATAGAAGAAAAAATTGCTTAGGGCTTTAACAGACATTACTGAGTTAAAAAGTGCTGCCAAGGTTAGTAAAGTTTTCATTAGGAAGAAAGAGAATTAGTTACCACTATTTAAAGGATGCAGCACTCTCTGAACAATTAATGGAGGTTGGCATCTGGAACACATCTAGTGCTCAAGAGCTAGAAAGCATTCACTCCTTTCTCCGCTTCATACAAAAAGCTCTTTGTTCAAATTTACACTTCAAAGCCATAAACTGTCACTTATGGGGATCAGTGTCCTACATACTGAACCAAAGGCTCTGGGAATCAGGCTGTTCTGCCAACTACCAACACTGGGAAAGACAGCTGGCTTCTTATTACTGCTTTTTAAACAAATGTTAGTTTATAATTACAGAAATGAATAAGAAATCTGCACTGAACAACTGCAAAGAGCAACAGTTAAGTAAAACAAATACCACATCCATCTTGCTATGTTAACTGATGCTATGGGAGAGGAAACATTCATACAGCATTTCTTCCTTCTGTTGTCAGTGCTACCTTACGCCAGTTAAAAAATATTTAACTGAGAAAGTACACAAAGCAGAAAGCCAAATTGAGTGTGCTAATATCTGCACATAGCAAATAAAGCTTAAATTGGTACATCCCATGGTCAAAAAAGGAGTTACCTTTCGTCTGGGTGTTACTGATGGAACGGGAGGATTGAAGGTCATTCCTTTCATATTGTATGCCTCAAAAAGTTCTGTAGCAGGCCTATAGCAAAACCACAGTTTTTGCAGTGAAAGAAAAGAGTCATTAGATACCCTTCAAAATAATATATTGCCAACGCAAGAGCAGCTTATCCCCCAACACCATTCATACCCACCCAACATGTCCTAAGTGAACTCTTCAGAGTAATGAACATCAACTAGAAAAGACTGTACCTGTGAAATAGGGCTAGTAAAAGCCAGTGATACGTGTCTAAATACTCAGCTGGAGAAGAAGAAATGAGAGACAAAAAACCTGTTCTGTTGGCCTGCCAGAATTCCAAGCAGTCACTGCCTGACCTGCATTATAACTCCAGCATTAAAAAAAAGGTCTAAAGTAAGTAGATAAAGTTATCTAGCCAATGCAATCTAGCTAAATTCCAGCAGGATTCCAAAGTTCCTTACTGCAGGGTGTTACTGAAAAAAAACTAAGAAGCCACTCGAGAATGGGTAAGACCATCACATGAAAAAGAATGGTTAAAACACAGTAAACAGTAGACAAGTGTGTGTGATCAGTTTTTGCAATATCTGAAAGAAAGTATGAGATTCCTACAGGTCTGCACCAGGCTCCATGGATTTCAACCCACTTGATGTGGAAAAGATGATGAATACCAAGTCATCTGTGCTACAAGTGAACTGTTTGCTGAGAACTGCAGGCAGACTGTAGGACATAGCCAGTAAAATAGCAAATGAAATTCAGCGTGGAAAAAAAGAACTAGAGAAAAACAATCTAAGCTTCACACAAAAAACACATGTTCTGAGCACTATCCCTAAATAACAAGATCTCCTTACTAGGGGTACTGTCATGGGACTGTGACCTCAGTGCTCTGTAGAGTTGAAAAGAGACAGAAAACAAATAGAAAGCACTGTTACATCAGTGTGTAATTCACTGATCATCCACATCTCAAATACTGCATCTTTTCCAGTCTCCTCATCTTGAAATACTTTAACTAAGTTCATGAGCAGGAAACAAAGATGACAAAACACACGCAATAGCTCCTGTCTGGGCCAGGTCCCATCAGCCAAGAGAAGAGATAGCAGGCAGAGGGACAAAATTAAGGACATGTACAAAGTCACATAGAAACACAGAAAGTGCCTGCTGGAACAGACTGTTCACTTCATCTCCCAGAGCAAGAACCAAGGACCATTAAATGACGCATGCTGGTAGCAGGTTCAAAACAAAAGGTGGCTCCTAACTAATAAGCTGTAGACTTGCAGAACCCCTATCAAGCCATATAGTGTTTTCAAAATTTATACTTTGGTTCAAGAGACTTGAAACACCTTAGAAAAGTCAGAATAAAAAAACAAGTCAGAGGCTAGGAGGTAGCTCTGGCCTTATAAGTTTGCCCATTTTTTTGCTCTTCCTGGTGCACTTGTTTCCAGCAACTGCTAAAGACAGGATAGTGAATTAGACACATCCTTAGTGAAAACCAGGATGGCTGTTCTTGTATTTTGATATATTCTGCACCTTACACTCCAGCTTGGTTTCCAGTGGAGAGCTACAGTTCAATGATCATAATCCACAGCCAGAAAAAAAGCAGCAAAATTTCTGTACCAGTAGAAGAACAAAGAAAGTGAGTTCTGAACAAAAGAACCTTTTAACTTTATGGGTAATTATTTTTCCTTTAATACAGTATGAACAACTGCTATTTTGCTAGTATGCTATTGTTAAAAATAGATCCCTTGTATAGCTCACCTTCTGCTCAAATCAAGTGAAAGAGCTCCTGATCCTTCAGCTGGAGCTCCAACAGCAAGGTGAGCTGCAAATTTCTGCACTGTTGGATGATAGTGTCTCTGAAAGAAAGAAAGGAAAACAGCAAGTGAGTGAGGGATAATGGTAATGTATTTACCCATGGATTCTCCCACTTATTTTGGCTCCAATAAGATTTAAGGATCTGCTTCTGATTTAGACAGAAAAAGTGAGCATTGCCAAAATCAGTTTCTAAGGTTAAGTGAATGAGAGCACCTAATCATACATTTATTCACTTGGAGCTGTTACACTGAGAGCAAAATTCTTTGCAGTTAACCTAACTCCTCCCAGAAAACAAGAAAAAGGGCAGAGGAAATCCTCTGCGAGCCCCAAACCATAAACACTGCCTGGAATGACAGACTGAGGTATAAGTTGCTCCCTGCAGAAGGGCTAGACCATCCGGGATCTTAACAGATTAAAAGAGCTTCAAAAGGAGTCTTATTAGGCAGCCCTGCAGTAAGACTCAGCGTAGAACTATCGTAAGTAGTGTTTATAACCCTCTTTAGAGCTTGTTCCTCCCTACACCACTGTGCTGTTGTTCTCTGCATAGGGAATAGGCTCAGCTCACATGGGTCATCTTTGATTGATAAGCCTGAAGAACTCCACTCTGTATTTGGTAGTAGTTATTTACTGCTCACCTTCCTAAATTCAGCTACTCACTAACCTGCAACAAATGCAGCTCCCATAGAGCTGTGTTCTGGGCATTGCAGTGCTCTGGTTCATCTAGTTCTGAGAGATAAACTCCACTGCCTTGAGATTCGTTGTCTAGTAAGAGATCCATCTTTGGGAATGTCTACAACACAAAAAAAAAGGCTGAGTTGCTTATACTATA